TTTTGGGTGGCGTGATGTCGTATGTTGCGAAATGCTGTGAATTATATTATCATTGCATGGTTTTGGAAGTTAATTTGATTGACTGCTCGTCCAGTCCTACAGTACTGATGCTGTCCTTATGCATTGGTTAAAGCATTTTTTTTTTTAAGTTTTGATTATATTTTATAGGTTTTTTTCCTGGTCAAAACATATGTTATTATAATTAAACTGAAACAAATGTTATTACGACAAATTTTTACAAGTACCAATGTACTCAGTTTCGAAACTGCTTGACGGCCCCCGTTTCCCCTACACTTTTCCCAGTGAAAACCACTGGTGTAGAGCGTGTGTAGGTAAAGAGTATTGTTGCTTTACAGCAAACTGACCAAATCCTTTTCTTTGGCAGATGGTATTGTCTCTTCAATATGTCTGATGGTATATATCGCTTCTCACTCGTTTAGGGTTGTATAACTGGCATCTTTGCACAGCTATTCATTTCACGAGAGTTAATTTTTGGAGTAGTGTGTTAATTTTACTGGGCATTATATATATATATATATTCAAATTTGGTACTGAAAGCATAGTGATGGTATACATATCATTCATACCATACGATCAACTGATTTGCCGATATATCTTTGTTTCGATGCTTTGATAATGATGTCGTCAGTAAATAAATTACATTTTACTACTTTGATGACCTCGGCAGATTCTATCAATCACTGATAAAAAAATTTCTTTAAAATGTCGAAATTTTCGAAAGAATCCGGAGACGATTATCAGTCTTCAACACTCGTCGACGTTAGAAGTTAAATAAGGTAACTGCCGTCAGCAGTGTTGCCACTTTGAATGTTTTACATTTAGATTTAGATATTTTTTTCTTGCGTTTAGATGGTGTTTTTGACGTTTAAATGGTAGATGTTTATCTAGAAGTTTTTCATTTGGAGTTTGATATTTTGTAGATTTGTTTTCCCCTTTCAGTGTCAGTTTAATGATTACCATGTAAAATATTTACTACAATATTTTTGTTTTGGGTTGGTACTTTATTGTGACAATTGTGGTTACTTTAACTTTGAACTCTCACTGGGGCCAAAGCTCAATTATTTTACAGCCCCGGTACTACATAAATTAAAAGCGCGCGCAAATCATACTAACTTTGTTTCAACCGTATCCTCACTGTGCTGACTTTGTGTTCATTTTTTCATGTGATTTAAATTAAATAATTGCTCACCTTCATATGTGGCTTTAACTTTGAAAAATAAAAAACTTTCAACATGCCAAAAGTAAAGTATGAGCAAAGATTTCGGAAAGAGTGGTTACTTGATGACAACATTAAATTAATTACAACCTATTCTAATGGAAGTGCAAAAGGTTAATAAACTATTCGAATCTAAACATGCTGATAAAGTTAAATTACTTGACTACCTCACTTTGCTATATCACTCAGTTGGTAAAAGACTTGGGTTGCCAACTTCTAAAGCTGATTTGCTCAGCTGCACTATAGAGAGCTGTTTGGCTCCTAAGCCATATCTTGGATATCAAATCGAACAAAAAATTGATGATTTAAAAACCAAAGGACTGTTAACAGAGAATGAAGAGAACAACTTAAGAAAACAATGTCAATATTTCCTTACCTCATTATTTATGCAAGTGAAGCAGAGACTTCCTGAAAATATAGATGTATTGAAAAATATTTCACTCTTTTCTGTGAGCAACATACTTCAGCCAGTTAAGGACATAACTAAATATTGTAAAGTTATAAAAATTTGTAGGGGCTAGTGATAATAGTGTTGGGGAAAAAGAATATCAGTTAACCAAAATAAACTTAGTTGAATGGACAAACAAAACAGAAACTGAATCATTTTGGAGTAAGGTGAGACAATTTAAAGATGCCTCATCAAACAGTCCATTATGTAAGCTCTTTGAATGTGCCATGTCTGCAGTGATACTACCCCACTCAGATGCTGACGTAGAAAGAGTTTTCAGTGCTATGAATTATATCAAATCTAACCTAAGAAATAGGATGAAATTTGACCTCTTAAATGCTATCTTGAAAATAAAATTCGGCCTGATGAGAGTAGGAAAATGCTGTTCCACTTGTTAGCTCCCTGATTGTGAATTAAAAGAAATTGGAACAGCTAAAGCATACCAGAGTTATTTTGGATCTGAAGCTTCAACTTCATCATCCACGCTAAGTTTATCCTGTGGATCTTGTGAGGCAGACAACAGTGAAGGTGAGGACATGATTCTATGTGGTAAGTTATATCAATAGCTATGTAATTTGTGACTTTTCTTTTGAATGTTTTCTCTAGATGTTTTTCACGCAATTTTATATGTTTTTTTTTTTTTTTTGGACTCTGTTCTGGATGTTTTTTGTTAAAGAAAAGTGGCAACACTGCCGCCGTGTGCTTCGTGTGCCCGTGTACGAGAAGACTCGATCAAAGGATGTATCTGTAGCGTAAGTATTTTTTACTTTTCTGATGGACACCTTTTGTTTAGTTGTCAACTTATCATAACTGTGTAAAGGTAATTTAGTTAGTACCTGTATTTTAGTCATCTTATCAATGTAGAACTATTCTTCTCAGAAGACTTCTGGCTGCTGTGTTTTATTTACTTATTTTTTTTTTTTTTGAAAAATAAAAAATAAATATTCCTCTGCACTGCTGCTAGCTATCTTAGCCAGTCTCACTCATACTCATAGATGATAGTTTTGTCAGCTGCTGGACGTAACTCATCATTTATAGTGCCTTTCCAACTGGCGTAGGCGATCATGCCTCTCCACAGTCTGCGATCCTAAGCTAAGGCGGACACCATACCTCAGGACCACTCAGCCCCCCTCCTAGGCCATAGCCACAGATTACTTCGCACACTTTTCACCTTCAGCTTTTTCATTGAAATTGCCCATTATTATTGTTACTTCTGAATTTTTTTACTAGTTAAAAGCCATGTCTAAATCATTATCAAAGTCATAAGTATCATCTTCTGATCTTTCTATAGTTGGTGCACACACTGTACTAAGTTTATGATTGGCTATTGACTAAGTTTATATCAAGTGATTTGCTATGGATCTTTACTAAAAATAGCACCCTGTCTGAAATAGTCCAATATTTTTTTAACAGATTTTGCACATTTTGGATCCAAAATGATACCACGATTGTTATATTCCCTCGTACCTGAGTAAATGATTTTGTTTATCTGAATACCTGGCCAATGCATTTCACTAATTCCTAACATTTTGATATTCATTCTCTGCATTTCACTCTTGATGTTATCCAACTTTCCAGTTTGTACAAGTGTTTTGATATTCCATGCACCAATGTTTAGGATGTTTCTACCTTTTACTTTTTCTACAATAGCCGGATGATGGTCAGGTATCACCTGTAGAACATGTTGCTTCCTACTAGACGAGGTGATTCCATTAGAACCCCATTTAACGTTGTCTGAAAATGATTGGTTTAAAGGCTTGACTTATTAGGGAAAATACAGTGGTGGTTTCCCTTTGACTTCCGCCACTTTATGTGTATGGTTTAACTCCAATCATCATCAAGTGACTTGCCAACTAGCATAGGGGATCATGCCTCTCCACAATCTGCTATCCGCAGCTAAGTGAATCAGTTCATGTGTTGACATTCTCCATGCCACGACATAAGCCCATCAAGAATCTTTTTGTGCTGTCTTCCTTTGTCTCTTTTTCCACAGATCTTTCCAGCGGTCACAAGATGTTCCATTTTCCCCGTTCCTATAACATGACCAAAAAATTATGACTGTCTCTTTCTGATGTTTGTGATACGTTGTCTCCGAGCACCTGCCTCTTTCAAAACATCTGGGCTGCTCTTCTTAGCTATCTGAGGAATTCTAAGGATTCTTTTGTAAAACCACATCTCCACGGCCTCAAGATGTTGTTCAGCTTATGTATTAATTGTCCAGGATTCACAACTGTATGTTAAAACTGGACATGCAAGAATTCTTTTCCTAAATTCCAATGACATGGATTTATTGCATAAAACGTCCATCATTTTGTAAAATGCAATTTTGGCCTGTCCTATTATATTCTTTAACTCTGTGACACATCTTCCATCGGATGTTTTCCATGTGCCTAGATACTTACATTTCTGTACTTGTCCCAAAATAACACCTTTGACTTTTATTATACATTTAGGCACTATTCTTTTCTTGGAAATCCCTATTACTTGTCTTTTATTACTCAAACTGAGGCCCATTTTATCACTTTCTGCCACCACTGTATCTATCAATTCTTACAATTCTGTCTGACTGTCACTGTCAACTGCATCCTCAACTTCTAAAACTAGTATTGGTGGGCTTAACTCCAATAGTCTTTGTCTAAACCAATAGCCTTTGACCAAACCTGCAGCAGGGGGGGAAGAGGTAATAATGGCACCTCTTACCCACTGATGATCATACCACAAAGTTTTCAGATATTTTATAGAGCTAGTTGTCCTAACCTGCTAGCTCGCCTCTTCTCAGTGACCACCACCTGTTTTGGTCCACGGTTGCTTCTTCAGTACTGTCAAGTCCACATAAGTGAAACTTGGATAAATCAAATTTAGGTTAAGTAAACATAACCAGCTTAGTCCCAGCAATTTTCTCTATTGTGTGTGCTGTCTGGGTAAGTAGAAATTCTGATAAGTGGAAGGATTTTCTTAGGTCCCTGCGACTTCTACTTATCCAAACATGACTATATGTTACTGACCTCTGTTTAACTAGAGGCTGCTCCACCATCCGCAATCGGATGGTGTTGCCTATTAGTAATAGACACATTTATTGACAAGGTTTTTCCCTGGTTTGTTATATGATCATTTATGACTTAATTATAGAAATAGCCAGTGTTCAGGAGATTAAAGCTGAGAGAATTAATTTTATTTTACCAGATTTTACCTTAAATCTGTAGATATTGCATGTATAGAGATATCCATATGCAGTAAAAGTTATCTGTTACCAAAACCAGTTAAAAGTTACAATGCCAACATGTTTGTTTATCATTTCAGAGTGTCTGCGCTTAGATGCTTAGAAGGGTGTTCTCCTGCAGATTCATCACAGCTTCACAGTACCAAGGATTATGTGGGGGTCATTGTTCAAATCATTCTTTCAAACATTTGGGATTGCTGTATGAAGTTTGTGGTCTCAAACCATCTAAAATAATTGTGCAACATCATTGGCAGCCAACTGCACCATTCTGTTCTAGTATAACCCAGCAGCCAATTCAAACCAGCATGGAAGACAAGCTTGGTGTGAATGAAGTCAGCGAGGGCCAGGCTAAGGTGGTGCTGCCTTCATCTGTTTTCTATAATCCAGTACAAGAATACAATCGAGATTTGACGATAGCTATCATATCTGAAGTGTCCGCCGAAAGCTTCCACAGAAGTAATAACAAACCTGCAGACAGTCAAGCATTGGAGCAAAAGCAGCCGCAAGCTGGAAAGTATTATGAAAATGGTATTTCAATTTTTGAAGGTCTTGCTGCTTCAGGGCTGAGATCAGTCAGGTTTGGACTAGAAATACCGGGAGTCAGAGAAGTCATTGCTAATGACTTTGATAAAAATGCTGTTGCTTTTATTGAAAGAAATATAGAGAAAAATGAGATTAGTCACCTTGTAAAAGCAAGACATGGTGATGCAGCCATGGGCATGTATGAACACAGGCAGGAAAGTGACCAGTTTGATGTCATTGATCTAGATCCTTATGGCAGTCCAAGTATTTTTCTGGATTCAGCTGTCCAAGCTGTGAAAGATGGAGGTTTGCTGTGTGTTACATGCACTGATGCTGCTGTTTTGTGTGGCAATGCTCCAGAAAAATGCAGTGCTAATTATGGAGCCATGTCCCTACGATCTAAATTTTGTCATGAGATGGCAGTAAGGATCATACTTCAGTGTATTGACTCCCACGCCAACCGCTACTCGAGGTACATTGTACCTTTAGTTTCATTGAGTATTGACTTTTATTTCCGAGTGTTTGTGCGGGTGCATACAGGGCAGAAGCAGGTTAAACATTCCGTAGCAAAGAGATCTATGGTGTTTGAATGTGTGGGCTGTGGAGCACATATGATACAGCCAATTGCTGAAGTCATACCCACTAAAGGAGAAGGCAACTTCAAATTTATGCCAGGCAGTGGCCCTGTGGTTCCGCAGAAATGCCAACATTGTCATCACCAGCATCGGATTGGTGGACCCATTTGGTCTGCTCCAATACATGATCATGATTTTATTAGACGAGTGATAGCAAGAGTGCAGTCCAGCGGTCATTCGTTCCATACAGCAGATCGCATCATTGGCATGCTGAATGTGGCTCTAGAAGAACTCCCAGATGTGCCTCTGTACTATGTGCTTGATGCCGTGTGTGGCGTGCTGCACTGCACACCTCCAAGTATGAAAGTATTCAGGTATGTGCATGGTTTATGAGGGATTACACATCCATAAAGTAGATTATTTTGATGACATCAGTTTCCTTACTAATTAAATCTTTCATAAAACTTTCTTTTCTTGGTTCAAGCCAGCAATGTTTGTGCAAATGAATTTTAAAAATCTTATGGCACACCAGAAGATACTTAGAGATGCCGCAGAGGTGTGATTTATGAACCATATCCTAAATTATTACATAGCAACATATTGTGACCACTCTTTTCTTCAAAATTATTTTCCTTACCAGCAAAGTATGGTTATCACTTTCTAATAAAAATAGAGTATAGCTGCATATAGTCACGCCATCTTGTCACAGCTTTATGTAAATTTACTTATTGCAAGTGTCGTTAAGCAATTTGGGAATATTTTGTTTACATGATAAAACTGCATAGATATTATATTAATATGATAAACGCATATCAGCTACCCCAATTTATTATCTGCATAAGTATCTGCTACCCATTTTTATCAATTTTGGTTACTCCAAGGGTTGTGCGAGTTGTGGAATGCATCTCGCCACTACAGGGGAATGGATTCAGCAAAATAAACACGTCTTGGCATGAACTATTTAATAACAATAATCACAGTTATATTATATTGCTATGTAGCTCTTGCATTATCACTGTTTGCCTAAGTTATTACTAAATCAATTGATTTTTTTTTATAATCTGGTAGTCTTAGCCATGAATTTAAATTTATTTTATGTGAATATGTATAGTCGGCGTCTGGGGCTTATGCATTGCGAACATGCTTCGTAATGCTTGGTTGCCAAATTCAATCCCAGCTGTGGATGGTTTTTGTCTTGCATTGGCTATGACAGAGGTAAAAGAGTTAATAATTCATAAATCAGTGGCAAACTACTGAACGTAAAATGTGCCTAGAAAAACCACAACAGCTAAAAATGCTGAGGTTAGTTCTGCAACATCCTGTAAAGAATGTGCAACTAACAACTGCGTGTGTATAATGTATATGTTTCTTCTGGGAAGCATATTTAAGCTTAAAACAGGTGTAAATGATGTCTACATTTCAGTTATAATTTGTATTTTAAAGATTGTTGTTATAGATATTTGTCAATGAAATTGTGAGACTCGTGGATTAGCGTTTTGTTTTTACTTTAAAACAATTAATCAGGGAAAAACTCATAAATCATTTACAGGTCAGCACTGCTGAATGGTGGATATCGAGTGTCTCTGTCCCATGCTGCTAAAAATTCTTATAAAACTGATGCTCCAATAGGCTTTGTTTGGGCAAGTATTTTGATATATTTATATATAATATATACATTTCCATTTTGTTGTCTTCAGTGATGACATCATTTTTTTTTTGTATTCAGTAGTTTTTTTTTTTTTTATTTTTTTTTTTTAAGAAACAAACTCTAATCATGAAGAAAATATTTCAGAATTACTATTTGCTGACGACCAGGTACTCATAGCAGAAAGTATGGAATGCCTACAGAATCTAAAAATCAAATTCATAGAAAAAAGGGGAGGAATATAATATGAGAATAAACACTACGAAGACAGAGACAATAGTGATAGAAAGACAATTTAGAAATAAAAATTTTAAAAATGACGTAATACAAACACGAATTCAAGCATTTGGGAGCAATTTTCACATCCGATGGAAAACTAGACAGAGAAATTAGCTCGAGATGTGCCAAAGCTAATCAAGTATCTCCCTTGTTGATACACAAGCAGATACCCCAGAATACTAAAGTGAACCTTATCAGAACTATTTTTTTGGCCATCATTAGGCTATCAGTGCCAAACGTGGACATACATTCTCTAATGAATGTAAAATTGTGGTAACAAATATGAAATGCGCTAGACGAGCTGCAGGAGTTTCACGGAAAGACAGAATACAAAATCAGACAAATGTTAGAAAAAAAGCCAGTCTTACAGGTTATCAAAGAACAACAAATGAAGTGGTTTTGACACCTAACAAGAATGTCCTGGTACTATCTACCACAGCGAGCCACACTGAAACGTTTCACTGAGTATAGAGCGAGTGGGAAAACCTCGAAAATTTGAAGTTGGTGGCATTATGAACAGCCTTACAGAACTGAACACCTAATAGTGCTCTTGACAAAACTCATCAGTAAATGTTACATGTGCCCTGACACTTCACTGAGGTACAAGGTGGAAGAGAGGAAGAAGAATTTATTTTCTTTTGGACCAACATCATTGGGCCTTAAACAGAGTCATTAAGTTCAGTCGCTGTCATTAAAATATGTTGCCCACACAACACAGTGGCTGTAAACTCACTTGCAAATGTGACACATTTTTCTGTTCATGGCCAGATTTGATAATAGATTGATTTAGTTTATGTTTTTACTCCATCATGACATTGTTTAAAGGTTGGTCTCATGGATGGCATTTTACCATCTCCCTTTTTAGTGTCCTGATTACAGTTATCTTTGAGATCTATATTTGTTCATTCCTCCTTTTGCCCGTAACCTTTTTGTTTTTTTAAGAGTAAGGCCATTTCATTTTATAGATCCTTGAATATTCTGTGTAGTGTAGGCATTCTTCATCTCTTTTAGTGGACAAAAACTTGGCTTGCTTTGGATCATATTTATGTTGTTAGCAACCATCCACCTAGTTAGAACTATAGGTTACTTAGTAGCTATTGGGTGCCTTAACTACTTTGTGACCACCCTTCTGGCGCCCTGGTCTCTCTGTCTTTCTCTCTTTAATATGACTGTTAAATGGTTGTGCAGAGTGTAATTTGTTAAAATATCAGTTTGATAACTTTTTATCTGGACATAATCTGTGTAGAGGTAATATGTAAACTATACTGTTACCGTCTTCATTAAATGCCCTGTCAGCTGGCTTGGGCTTACAAGATCTGCATGATTCTACATACTTTGTGATCTCTTGCAGCAGTTTATTTGCTGCCTTCCTTCCATGCCTGCTTATGGGGGTGTCCCGAGTGTTGTGATGTTGAATCTTAAACATTCGACATTCATGCCTTATATAAGGCTGTCGAGAATCTTCTGCTTGTTGTCTTCCTCTAAAACACATTTTTTTACGTAAAAAACTATTTGATACAGAGATTATATAGCATAGAACCTATCTGTTGCTGCAGGATATCATGCGGGCTTGGGTGAAGAACAACCCAGTAAGCTCACGGCGTCTGACTGAAGGCTCTATTGTGAAGACTATCCTGGATCAGCAGCAGACCTATGAGGTGTCTTTCCAAGAACATGCTGATGCAAACCCTCAGTCCAGGGAGAAGGGACTGTTACGCTGGCAGACCAACCCTGAACCATATTGGGGTCCTAAAGCCAGGGCAAAACGAGGTCACAGTGTAGACCTTGTAGCGAAGCAAGCATCCAATCAGGGCAAGACAAAAAAATCTAAGGTGTGTATAGTATTTTTTCTAAAACAACTAAATGTTGGGACAAGGCATGTTCTGATGTTTGATTTATACTAATCTTCCTCTGCAGTAGTCAGTGTCTGTGGATTAAGGGTTTTAAGTAGTTTCACAGACACGATGTACCAGGATTCAAAGGCAGTATACATTTTGGTAGCCGGCAATCCAGGCCATCTCGTACTCATAAAATAACAAAGTTACTGTAGTTAGATTTTTTAATTTAAAGGAGGCTTAACTTTTGGGTCTGCTCATAAATTGAAGTAATATGAAGATTGAAGTAAAAGGGTTTATGTCACTGTTAGGATACATAGGCTTGGTTTTGTCTCTTTCCTGGGCAACAAGAACACTTTACAATTATTCAGAATACATTGGGGACAGTTTTAAATCTAAGCGGAATCTGTTTTCACAAAATTTAATCTTCCTAGTTTAAGAAATAAGCAAGTTAACCTCAGAGGCTTATTAGAATTTAGTTATTCAGGTCGTGCCTGACTTGTTTACTTTTTTTTTAAAGTTATGATTAGTTTTATGGAAATATATTTTTTGATGTTTGTGCATATTTAGGATATTAAGTAGGGCTGTACCGAATATTCGCTTCGTATTCGCTTGGGGCCGAATAGTGGACCTAATAACTATTCGGTATTCTGCCGAATAGTTGCGGTCGGCCTGAATACGAATAGTCGTTACCTTACACCCGTTTCTGGACTGTTGTGGAAAATTACCATATAAAGATTTCCCAGCTTGGTTCATACTGTCAAGCGTTATCTTTGTGCACCACCTACGAGTGTACCAAGTGAACATCTGTTTAGTACAGCTGGAAATACCTTCAGTGAGACAAGAAGCTGCCTTAATGCTGACAAAATGAAACGATTTTTTTTTGTGTGTGGAAAGCTAATGCCCCTTTCATGGATTTACTAAGCTGTCAGTGACAATTTACAAGTTTAGTTACTTGTTATAAAACTAAGAATACTTTCATTCCTAGGTATTAGTTAACACAGACTGACTGACTGAAGGATGCAAAACATGCAATGTTTTTAAATGTTTACTATTGTACATTTTGTCGCAGGTCGACCCAGCCTCAAATGGGTACCAGGATGGGCTGTCCTGGGAAAGTAAAGACGGCTGGCGTAATGCTGACCACATTACCCACCGAGTGCCGATTGGTCTGTAAAAATATGGGTGCTCTTCCCATATGCCCAATGCGCCTAAGGGCGTGAGGGATCTTTACTTTTTTTTTTACTTTTACTACATTTTGTGAAGTAAAATTTCAGTGTACATTTGACATTATGGATTTTTTTGGGGGGATCTATGTTATACATGAAAGTGAAAGAATTGGTATCCGTTTGAATAGTGGGAAAACAGAAGTAATGGTGGTATCAAAGAAAATAATTATTCCTAAATGTGTTATAAAAGTCAAAGGTTTTATTTTTCGACAAGTACAGAAATTTACGTATTTGAGCACATGGATAACATCAGATGGAAGATGCATTACTGAAATAAGAAACAAAATAGGACAGACAAAAACTGCATTTTATAAAATGAAGAACATTTTATGCAATATATCTTTGTCATTGAAGGTTAGAAAAATAATTCTTGCTTGCTACATACATCCAGTTTTAACATAATGCTGTAAGTCCTGGACAATCGGTAGGCAGGCAAAACAATTTCTTGAGGCCTCAGAGATGTGGTTTTACAGAACAATGCTTAAAATACATTGGACAGCAACAACAAAAAAAAGCAAACAAGATTTTTTTATAGAGGCGGGAGCCCGAAAGACAAATACTCACAGACATCAGAAGGAGACAGTCATTATTTTTTGGCCATGTTATAAGATGAGTGAAAATGGGACTTGTGGTGACCACTGAAAAGATATGTGGAAGGAGGGATAGAGGAAGACAACGAGAGAAGATTCTTGACATTCTTGTTGCAAGGCATGGAGGTGTGTCGGCACGCGAACTAATACATGCTGCAGGAGATCGCAGATTGTGGCGAGGCATAACCGCTCATGCCAGTCGGCAAAGCACCTGTTGATGATGATTCACTATTCGTATTCGTATTTGGCCGAATAGTGAAAATCACTATTTGGTACAGCCCTAATATTAGGTTTTTAAAAAAAAGCTTTGTTTTTCTTATTGATCTCATGAGCAGGAGTGTAGCACCTCGAGTTTAGCACCTCATGTTCACCTGCTGAAATGATGTAGCAGTTGTTATAGATGTTTACCGGTTGTTTGTTTTGTTTATCATCTCCAGGTTGGCGACATTTCTGAAGCCAACAGTGAACATACCATGGATGATAGTGCTGAGGAATCTCGCAATTCTTGTAGCTGACCTTTTCAGGCATTGTGTGTACACTGACTTTCAGAAAATGTTTATGATAAAAATTACATAGAAAAATGAAAATGTGTGGCACAACACCATACCCCATTACCCAAGTTGCTGAGTTTGCCACTTGAGAATAAACATGCATCCTATTATTTTAAACTTTGTCTTATTTTATCTCTACTGTTTTGAATGGGATTTAGTCAAGCAAATTCACTAAAGACATTTACACAATCAGTTTGTTGTTGTAAATTTGGTTGCTTGTGAGAAAACCCATGCAATCCCATGTGGAGACTCCTACTGGGATTGTTGTTCACTTATTATAGACCATACCATAAGAAGGCCAGTTTGGCCAGCTGTAAAACAACTTCACATTACAGAAATACATAAGCAAGCAAACTTCAGAGAATGAGAATCAGTATTTCCATGTACTGTCAGTAATGTCTGTTTTTTTCCATTGTGAGTTTATAAGCCAGATTTAACCTGTTCAGTGTGCAGGTGATGAGCTCTCATACTGTGGGGAAAAACACTCTTGATAAATCTGAACAATTATAAATATTAAAATAAAAGTAAAAGTGTTTACTTTTTGTTTTGACATAATACTCTATTTAATTAAGTTGAAATTGATTAAATGATAGCATGTCCTATACAACAGACATCTTGTTTAAAGTATAAAGTGGGTGTGTAGTTATACAGTTTGTGATTTAATTTAGTTTTCTGCCATCGATTGTGTTTATTATATAAAATTTGGGAGCAGCATCTATCAATTGACAGTAATCAAATTGGGTTCAGTCTCATCACAACATCTCTGGCATTGAACAAGCTAGGAGGCTGGGAAAAAAGGACAATGTGGACATTTGCTTCAGCCTGAAACAGATAAGGCAAGCTGGGTATATAAGAAGCAGCTGCAGAACTAAGTGTGAGATTGGAGAGGAAACCCATTAAGGAGTATTTTCTAAAACACAAACAGATTACTGGAATATTTAAAGGTGGATAGCAATAAAGACATCCAAAAACTTGTTGAACAGTATCTAATCAAAACAAACCAAAACTAAAAAGACTGGGTTGAAGATCAGCTCTAAACAACAGAAGGAACAGGTCAGGTGGTGACTCCAGACACCCTAGTGTAAGGGAGGTATAGTAAGTATGATGGATGCATAGATGTGAGTACGTGTGAATACACAAGGAAGAGTGCATGTAGTATGAGTGCAGTTATGTATAGGATGGATACATATGAAAAGATGTAATAGGCGAATGATAAGGGGTCACATATGGAAAGTGGGAATATAGATGTGCGAAAAGTACAGATAAACGATTAACGAGCGTGTATGTGAATGACCAGGTACCCATAAATTATGTGGTTGCATGGGACTATACGGTGAACGAGTGCATACATACGTTTAAAAATCCCACATGAGAATAAACGGAATGAAGTGTGTATGCCAAAGAACCTCATCAACACACACCATCCACCAGGATATGATAAGAACGTAACGGACAGGTCACATACCAGGGACGGGGCATAATTTAAAAAGTGACACGACCAGACGATATTACAGACATAGCAACACAAAATAACATGGAAGTGAGTGTCCTTACGTGGGGATGTACACGCTTTTCATGAATGTAAGTGCATTTATGTAGGCATTGGTAGACACATGAAAGAGTATCCATGTGTACGGAATGTCAAATAGGTATGCATACACGGATAAGTATGAAAGGAAGTGCAAACATGTAGTGTGGTCTGCGTGTATGAATGCTCGAGTGCATGTACGCATACACTTAGTTGTGTGCGTCCGTATATTCCGGGGATTCATACACAAAACCATATCATGCATATAACATAAACATGACCGGTGGGGCTCACAACAAGATATGACTGACAGCAAATAGAGAAAACAAGTGGATCGATATTGACAGGACTAGAAGACTTAACCACCAATTCCACCCCATCAGTGGGCTGATAACAAAGGTTGGTGACATGATACGTATAATACCGGCCAAAGACCACGCTAGAATCCAGCAAGACGGCAACGATGAGAAATGACTGAATGGCCTCCCGCCCCCTTTTCCCTCACCCTTCCCTGCCTCTTTCGGATGCACTATGAGTTCAGACCCCCACCCCATTCCCACAGAGAGCACGAGTTCGATACCCAAAATTCCACACCAATTCTCTTAGCTGAACATTTGGATCTCAAAGCGTGAGCTGGTTACTCCAGGTATATGGTATTTATGTACACAGGAGCCTAGCTGCCAACCTAAACCGATACAACCGGATCACACACTAACAAATGACGAAAAGATCCGCTTTGAGGCTCAACATAACATTTCACACACATATCCACGACAAGACTAACCCGTTCTTATTGCAGGAGGTAGGGCTGTACCGAATATTCGCTTCTGGGCCGAATAGTGGACCTAATAACTATTCTGTTCTCGGCCGAATACTTGCTGTCGTGCCGAACTCTGTGGATGAAATGCCCAGGTGAGCGGCTCTGCGGCTGGCCATGATCAGTGTCGTGATGTACCGCCGCTATTTGACAGGGCCAGTGAAACGCGGACACCTCTTTCCGTTGGCAGAGGAGGCATGGTCCCGACATAAATGCAAGTTAGCAGGGCAGGGCACAGCAGCGAGCAGTTTAAGGCAGATACAGCGGTAAACACGCCCAAAGGTCGACCGCGCACAAGTTGGACGGCATCAATATCGGAGACACTGCAAGGTACATCACACGAGGCCAACAGACGTTCTCGTTGGAGGAGCAGCAGCAGATGAGGAAGAATATGAGAGGAAAAGGCATGGCCAACACAAGTGCATACATAATTATTACTGTGCGACTGTCACTTGCCGCTTCTCTAGGACTCCCGCCCGTCTCCTTATACTTAAGACAAACTTGCGGTTCGACCACCCAACTCGGAGGGGAGGGGCACACGCACACCACACGCGTTCCCTTCGTCCCTCCGCACTCCCCTCCCCTCCCGAGTTGGCCCCTGGTCCCTCAGCGCGCTACAGTCGGGGTTTGCCTATACACCAGACGACTGTGATTATGCCGCACTTTATGGATGGAGTGGCCAGTTGAGCGGCCCTGCGACTTTCCATGATCAGCTGATGTTCCGCCGCTGTTTGACAGGGCCAGTGAAACACGGACACCTCTTTCCGAGGACAGAGGAGGCACGGTCCCGATAGAAATGAAAGTTAACCTGACAGGGCACAGCAGCGAGCAGTTTAAGTCACATACAGCGGTAAACACGCCCAAAGGTCGAACGCGCACAAGTTTGACGGCATCAATATCGGAGACATTGCAAAGTATATCACACGAACGCAACAGACGGGCTAGTTGGAGCAGCAGCCGCAGCAGATAAGGAAGAAAAAGAAGAAAAGGCATGGCCATCACAAGTGCATACATAATAATTACTGTGCGACTGTCAATTGCCGCATCTCTAGGATATCCGCACGTTTCTATATACTTAAGAGAAACTTGCGGTTCGGGTCGTAGTCGGCATGCGGGCTGACTACCCAACTCGGAGGGGAGGGACACACTATAACAACTGGCACACTTGGCACAGCACCAACTAATACAGTTGTTACTATCTTGACGAGTCAACAATAACGCTTGTGACAGGCCACATAATTTTTTTTTTGTAATTCACAGTATTCGTCACAAGATGATGATAATTATTCATTAACATATATACGATAATAGATCTCTATTATCTACACGGACGATATAAAAGATTAGAATCTTTTCTTAATGGACTCCTGCCATTATAAACTAAACAGACATTAAACTGTCTTCCGCAAACAACAAATAATATTATATTATACCTAGTGAAATCAATATGTAGTTGAGTGAGAATGCTTGTAAACAATATGATGATATCTTTTGTTATAAGAAGACATGTAATCAACAACAAGAAAAAAAATATAATAGCATAACTGGTTCACTAATAACCCAAAAGCTAAATCCACATCTCATAATTACTGTCAATGACAGTCATCATGTGTATAGGTAACCCACCGACTGTAACGCGCTGAGGGACCAGAGGCCAACTCGGGAGGGAAGGGACGGAGGGAACGCGTGGGTGTGCGTGTGTGAGTGCATAGCCCCCCCCCCCCCCCCCCACCTTTCCGAGTTGGGTAGTCAGCCCTCAGGCTGCCTACGACCCGAACCGCAAGTTTGTCTTAAGTATGTGAAAACAGGCGGATGTCCTAGAGATGCGGCAAGTGACAGTCGCACAGAAATTATTATGTATGCTCTTGTGTTGGCCATGCGTCACTGATCATTGCCAGTCGAAGAGCCGCTCACCTAGGCATTCCATCCACACAGTGCGGCATAATCACAGTCGTCAGGTGTATAGGTAACCCGCTGACTGTAACACGCTGAGGGACCAGGGGCCAACTCGGGAGGGGAGGGGAGGGACGGAGGGAATGGCCATGATTAGTGTCGTGATGTACCGCAGCTGTTTGACAGGGTCAGTGAAACGCGGACACCTCTTTCCGAGGGCAGAAGAGGCACAGTCCCGACAGAAATGCAAGTTACCAGGACAGGGTACAGCAGCGAGCAGTTTAAGGCAGATACAGCGGTAAACACGCCCAAAGGTCGACCGCGCACAAGTTGGACGGCATCAATATCGGAGACACTGCAAGGTACATCACACGAAGCCAACAGACGTTCTCGTTGGAGGAGCAACAGCAGATGAGGAAGAATATGAGAGGAAAAGGCATGGCCAACACAAGTGCATACATAATTATTACTGTGCGACTGTCACTTGCCGCTTCTCTAGGACTCCCGCCCGTCTCCTTATACTTAAGACAAACTTGCGGTTCGACCACCCAACTCGGAGGGGAGGGGCACACGCACACCCACGCGTTCCCTTCGTCCCTCCGCTCTCCCCTCCCCTCCCGAGTTGGCCCCTGGTCCCTCAGCGCGCTACAGTCGGGGGGGGGGGGGGGTTGCCTATACACCAGACGACTGTGATTATGCCGCACTTTATGGATGGAGTGGCCAGTTGATCGGCCCTGCGACTTTCCATGATCAGCTGATGTTGCCAGTCGAAGAGCCGCTCACCTAGGCATTCCATCCACACAGTGCGGCATAATCACAGTCGTCAGGTGTATAGGTAACCCGCTGAGGGACCAGGGGCCAACTCGGGAGGGGAGGGGAGGGACGGAGGGAATGGCCATGATTAGTGTCGTGATGTACCGCAGCTGTTTGACAGGGTCAGTGAAACGCGGACACCTCTTTCCGAGGGCAGAGGAGGCACAGTCCCGACAGAAATGCAAGTTAACAGGACAGGGTACAGCAGCGAGCAGTTTAAGGCAGATACAGCGGTGAACACGCCCAAAGGTCGACCGCGCACAAGTTGGACGGCATCAATATCGGAGACACTGGAAAGTACATCACACGAAGCCAACAGACGGGCTCGTTGGAGGAGCAGCAGCAGCCACCGCAGCAGATGAGGAAGAAAAAGAAGAAAAGGCCTGGCCAACACAAGTGCACACATAATAATTACAGTGCGAGTGTCACTTGCCGCATCTCTAGGACATCCGCTTGTTTCCTTATACTAAAACAAACTTGCGGTTCGGGTCGTAGTCAGCCTGCGGGCTGCCTACTTAACTCAGAGGGGAGGGACACACGCATGCACTCACACAGACACACCCACGCGCTTCCGCCGTCCCTCCCCTCCCCTACCCTCCTGAGTTGGCCCCTGGACCCTCAGCGCGTTACACTGGAGAGTTACCTATACACCTGACGACTGATTATGCCGCACTCTGTTCAAAGGTCGACAGCGCTCAAGTTGCACGGCATCATTATCGGAGACACTGAAAAGTACATCACATGAAGCCAACAGACAGGCTCATTGCAGAAATGTCTTCCTGCCCTGATGCCGCGAGGCATTCCACAAGGAGGACGAGGACGACGAGGAGGATGAGGAGCAAGAGCAGCAGCAGATAAGGAAGAAATAGAAGAAAAAGCATGACCAACACAAGTGCATAAATAATAATTTCTTCATTGTCTATGTTTGGCACTGATAATATAAAGTAGGGATAAAGATGCTATTAATCATTTGCTGTTTTGCTGGAAGGGAGACACCTGGGTGTCTAAGCAATGGGGCTAACTGGTAGGATCAGCATTTGCCTTCTGTACTCTGGCTTCTAACTCTCTATCGAGCCTGCCATCCTCCGTAAATATGCTTGCTAGATATTTGAATTCTCGTACTTGTTTGATTATAATACTGTTAACATGAACAATGATGATATTATGTTTCCTGCCTATCTTCATTACTAGTATTCAATCAATACCAGCATTTTTTGGTAAGATTTTAGAAAAGAATACAGTAATTGCTCTTCAGAAAGAATCTTCTGATCATTCACACAAATCTCCAAGGGCCACTATCAGACATTGCTTTAGATTTTACAGAAACACCACAGGACATGAAATATTACTGTACACATGGGAACAAATGATGGCCAACATGTTTCTCCTGAACTACTTGAACACTTTACAGTAAATCATCTCTGTCTTTAATACCACTCTGTAGATCACATATTTGGCAAGTAAACCTGTTTCTTCTTTATTACAAATCTGATGCAGAAGAGTGAAAACATCTATTCACAAAAGAAATATCCAGAAAATACAAGAAACATGCCCATGTGGAACATGTCTGCTCATTTCATACACATTACCAGAGATTACCTGGTGTCTGTAGGAACCATACACACACACTCACCATGTAACCTTTCTCTTCTATTTGGAATTTTTAGCAGTCTCACTCTAGTCCATTTTTTGACACAAATGCTAAAACTGGCTTGTTCCCTATTCATTTGATCAGAAATATTTATACAAAAACCTAATGATATCTAGATACTGGCAGCACTGAAGGACCACTTTCTCCACCCTTAGACCTGCTGGGTATAGAGTGCCTATATAGACCTATGTTTTATAGACTGATCGGCACTCATTAGGTGATTTGGTCAATATCACACTGACCACATTTGCTTCTCAGGGCTCTACAAGGTACTTATTTGAGGCATTATCTGTGCACCTTGTTTATAGAAAATCTTTGTGCTGCCTCTCTTGTGTTAATTCAACACATAGTACCTTACATAGCTTTAGCATGCATTTGGTGGTCATAGAGAGGTATCTATGGTATAGTGAGGTATCTACAATTTTTTAGCAGTCAGATTCTATTATTCAACATGTTTGCTAATCAGTGATGCCCAGATCTTCCACTTGTTGAGAAAAATAATGTGCTCGGAGATGAAGAATTTATGTTATTTTTATAAATTCTATTGTCGTAACATCACTTGCTAAGAACAATAATGTTGTGCTTGGAGATGAAGAATTTATGTCATTTTCATAAATTATATTGTCGTGACAATACTTGTTGAGAAAAATAATGTTGTGCTTGGAGAAAAAGAATTTATGTTATTTTCATTAGAGCCGAATACGAATAGTGGGGCCAACTATTTGGCAGAATACGAATACGAATAGTGTATCATCATTATCAGGTGCCTTGCCGACTGATGTGGGCGAATATGCCTCGCCACAACCTGCGATCTACTGAAGCATGTATTAGTTCGTGTGCTGACACACCTCCCTGCCGTGCAACAAGACTGTCAAGAATCTTCTATGATGTCTTCCTCTATCCCTCCTTCCACATATCTTTCCAGTGGTCGCCACATGTATCATTTTCTCTTTTCTCATAAGATATCCAAAAAACGATGTCTGTGGTTAGTTGTCTTCGGGCTCCCACAACTTTTAAAACCTCTTGATTGCCCTTTTTTTTTTTTTTTGCTGTTCAGGGTTTTTTAAGCATTGTTCTGTAAAACCACATCTCTGAGGCCACAAGAAATTGTTTGGCCTGCCTACCGATTGTCCAGGACTCACAACGCATTGTCTTTAAACATAAGTGCTTACTTGACGAGACTAACAGTGACTATTGAACAGACCACATTTTCCACTTTAAAATTTCAGCCAATATGTAATCACAACCTTACTTATCTGCTGCACCTTCACGAATACTGATGGAGGATCAGTCGCACCTCGAGATAAATACAAAGACAATTTTTTGGCATGCTGCGGTTGGCATTTTATGCAGTATGTAACACTTTGAAACAAAAACCAAAAAAACTCTTTTCGAGAGTGGCGAGGAAAGGCAATTTAAATTTTAACTTCTAAGCATCTTTATGCCTTTTTAATAATGTCACAATTTGTAGCCGACTTTTCTTGATTTTCGCCGTGGCACCCCTGGCATACGCAACCAGTTTGAGAACCTCTTCTGTAATGTCTCGGTAGAGTCAGCAGGCAAAGACTTAACCAGCTGCTGTACCCCGCTACGACAGACTTAAGCAACAGCAACTATTGTGTTAATGAGAGAGTTATTTCAGTCCATTGCAATGTATGCAAACAGGGTATAAAGTAACCACTATTTGTATTTGGCCGGACCACAAGTATTCAAAAAATAATGTTGTGCTCGGAGCTAAAGAATTCATGTTATTTTCATAAATTCTATTATCGTGACAATTTAAACAATGTTCACAGCAACATATTCCTATCTCCATGACAAGAAACATGTATATGATGTATAATAAATATAACTGACAACATAACATGATGACTAACACGGCAAATGCAAAAACCAAATACTAAATTTGTCTGTTACTGAGTCGTCTGAACATCCTGGTCTGCTTCAGCATTCTCCACTGTAGTCCCAAGAATGTGTTCAATGTCAGCTATTGCAGCCTACACAACAACAGAAATATTCAACATGTTGATAGTGTTGTAAATTTTCAGTAATAGTAACTTTAACTCTTTCAGTTTCAAGCAGGTGTCATTTTAACTCGTTCTCTTCTAAGAAGGTGGTACTTAAATAATACATGATGAGTTGAAATAATAGCACTCTGGGACAATAGTTAATGTTGGAACTGGACTGAATGGGATGAGTAACAACTGAATGGAGCATAAAGAGGTTAGAAGAGTCTATCTTGTCAGTTGAAACCAACCAACACATGATGAGTGCTTGGTACTGAATAAATTTAAAAGTCTTAATTGTAGACACTGAGATGTGGTAGAAAAGAAGGCATAAATGGGAACGGATTTTTGAAAGACAGCAACAATTAAAACAAATACTGTAATGCAACATTTGTGTAATTCTACATCTGTGTGATAGAGACCACATCCATGTAATACCATATATGCATGATAGTGACCACATCTGTGTCACAGTGACCACATCTCTGTGACAGTGACCACATCTCTGTGATAGTGACCACATCTGTGTCACAGTGACCACATCTCTGTGATAGTGACCACATCTGTGTCACAGTGACCACATCTCTGTGACAGTGACCACATCTCTGTGATAGTGACCACATCTGTGTCACAGTGACTACATCTCTGTGACAGTGACCACATCTCTGTGATAGTGACCAAATAAGTGTGATATATGTGTGATACATCCTTGTGATAATGACTACATATGTGTGATACTGACCACATCCTTGTGATAATGACTACATATGTGTGATACTAACCACATCCTTGTGATAATGACTACATATGTGTGATACTGACCACATCCTTGTGATAATGACTACATATGTGTGATACTGACCACATCCTTGTGATAATGACTACATATGTGTGATACTGACCACATCCTTGTGATAATGACTACATATGTGTGATACTGACCACATCCTTGTGATAATGACCACATCTGTATGATACTGACCACATCCTTGTGATAATGACCACATCTGTGTGATACTGACCACATCCTTGTGATAATGACTACATATGTGTGATACTGACCACATCCTTGTGATAATGACTACATATGTGTGATACTGACCACATCCTTGTGATAATGACCACATCTGTATGATACTGACCACATCCTTGTGATAATGACCACATCTGTGTGATACTGACCACATCCTTGTGATAATGACTACATATGTGTGATACTGACCACATCCTTGTGATAATGACTACATATGTGTGATACTGACCACATCCTTGTGATAATGACTACATATGTGTGATACTGACCACATCCTTGTGATAATGACTACATCCTTGTGATACTGACCACATCCTTGTGATAATGACTACATCTGTGTGATACTGACCACATCCTTGTGATAATGACTACATCTGTGTGATACTGACCACATCCTTGTGATAATGACTACATATGTGTGATACTGACCACATCCTTGTGATAATGACTACATCCTTGTGATAATGACTACATCCTTGTGATAATGACTACATCCTTGTGATAATGACTACATCCTTGTGATAATGACTACATCCTTGTGATTATGACTACATCCTTGTGATAATGACTACATATGTGTGATACTGACCACATCCTTGTGATAATGACTACATATGTGTGATACTAACCACATCCTTGTGATAATGACTACATCTGTGTGATACTGACCACATCCTTGTGATAATGACTACATCTGTGTGATACTGACCACATCCTTGTGATAATGACTACATATGTGTGATACTGACCACATCCTTGTGATAATGACCACATCTGTATGATACTGACCACATCCTTGTGATAATGACCACATCTGTGTGATACTGACCACATCCTTGTGATAATGACTACATATGTGTGATACTGACCACATCCTTGTGATAATGACTACATATGTGTGATACTGACCACATCCTTGTGATAATGACTACATCTGTGTGATACTGACCACATCCTTGTGATAATGACTACATATGTGTGATACTGACCACATCCTTGTGATAATGACTACATCATACTGACCACATCCTTGTGATAATGACTACATATGTGTGATACTCACATCCTTGTGATAATGACTACATATGTGTGATACTGACCACATCCTTGTGATAATGACCACATCTGTATGATACTGACCACATCCTTGTGATAATGACCACATCTGTGTGATACTGACCACATCCTTGTGATAATGACTACATATGTGTGATACTGACCACATCCTTGTGATAATGACTACATATGTGTGATACTGACCACAACCTTGTGATAATGACCACATCTGTGTGATACTAACCACATCCTTGTGATAATGACCACATCTGTGTGATACTGACCACATCCTTGTGATAATGACTACATATGTGTGATACTGACCACATCCTTGTGATAATGACTACATCTGTGTGATACTGACCACATCCTTGTGATAATGACTACATATGTGTGATACTGACCACATCCTTGTGATAATGACTACATCTGTGTGATACTGACCACATCCTTGTGATAATGACTACATCTGTGTGATACTAACCACATCCTTGTGATAATGACTACATCTGTGTGATACTGACCACATCCTTGTGATAATGACTACATATGTGTGATACTGGCCACATCCTTGTGATAATGACTACATCTGTGTGATACTAACCACATCCTTGTGATAATGACCACATCCTTGTGATAATGACCACATCTGTGTGATACTAACCACAATGTGTGATATTGACCACATCTGTGTGGTACTGGCCACATCTGTTTCATGCTGACTACATTTGTGTGATACCACATCCTTGTGATAATGGCATTTGTGTGATGCTGACAACATCTGTGTGATACTACATTCTATTGATAATGACCACATTTATGTGATAATGACCACAACAGTTTGATTGTGAACTCATCAGTTACATTTACCACATCTGTGTGATAATGACTACAACACCTTTCCTCTTCTGTATTTTGAAGACAACATGGGTCTGGCACTTTATTTCTCAAACTCTAAGGCAGTGGTTCTCAACTTATGGGTCGTGACCCTTTTGTGGGTCAAATCACCCTTACACAGGGGTCGCCAAAGACCATAGGAAAACACTTTTTCACTAAAGTCATGAAGTAGCAAGGGAAAGAATTGTATGGCTGGGGGTCGCCACAATATGAGCAACTGTATTAAAGGGTCGCGGAATTAGGAAGGTTGAGAACCACTGCTCTAAGGTAACAAGGAAATGGAGTCTCATGCATATCACCATCGTCTTCATTATTTACAAGAATACAAACATTTGTAGCTGATTTCGCACACAACATCTGGTACCTGATTCACTGGCTGTATAATTTTATAGTCTTTTTTTTTTGGTGTTGCTTGTCATCTCCCAAATTGGGCTCAGGTCAAGCCCTGCTGGGATGGGTTTATGACTGGTTTTTGTGTGTAACTGAAGTCTATGGGATCAGGTAGTCAGTCTCATTCTGAAACTACTTAGTCGTCTCTTACAACTTGAAAAGTAAGTTAGAATGTTACTATTCTTTGCTTCCTTATAGCCTCTGGGGCTCTGGTTTAGTGAATATGTTAAACAATTTCCTGACCCTCAAGTACTAGGATTCATTTTCCATAGGAGACCGTTTATTTTTTAAAGTTCTTATGGTCTTTGGATTATAGTTTGAGAGTCCCATCGGGGAAGAGATTTGGGCCTCACTAAGTAAAATTTCCAAAGACAACAGTGGGCACAAACACAGTTATTTTCACATTTACTATACTTTTAACTAAGAAAGTGTAAACACTGAAATGTTAACCCTTTTGCCTTGGCAACCTAAAAAAAACAGTGCCAAGAACCCATAACTTTGAAACTTTTGTTTTTCCAAAAAAAATACTCCTTAAACTCTTTCAGGACCACATTTTTTCTGGGGTTTGGACGGCATTATTTTTGAGTGGAATTTATTTGCTGCAACACGACTGAGTTAAAACCTTCCTGAAGAAAAGGTATTGGCTGTATTTGGACATATAATATATCAAATTAAAGATAAATGAGTGCAAAATAAATAAAAACTATTTAAATGTTAGTAAAACAAAAAATATTATTTAAATCACACAACATTTAAGGATCTTAGACACATATGAAAATGACTGACATAAACAATTGTTCAACAATACTGCTATCCAATTCTAAGAATGTACATGCCTTCTCTGTTCAATTATGTATTAGCTAGTCTTTATTTGAAACATTTAATTTAAATACTTTGGATGTTATCCACATTTTTGAATGACATGTCAAATTTAGAGGTTAGCAAACATGATTAACAATTTTATGACCCTCAAGGACTAGGGTTCGGGCCCCATGGTGGACAGTTGAAAAAAAAAATTCTTTTCATAGTACAAGAGTTGCACCATAGAAGAGATTGAGGCCTCACCACATAATATTCCCAAAGACAACAGTGGTACACTGTGGAGATGGTACAGATTTATTTTTAAATCAAAAGAAAACACCTACAAATGCTATTTTTAGTGACTACTGACACTGGCAGACTTATTAAACAGTCGCATATGTGCAAACAGAATCAGTGATTCTAGTGAGCATTCTCCAACAAACAGTAAACAAGTCACTGCAGCTGTGCCATTGGAGCAGTTTTTTAAAAGGGTAGGAAATTATAGGGAAGAGAAGAAAAAGGGAGTGAGAAAAAAACAAATAGTTTATTTCAGGTTTACAAAATCAGTTACAATGAACAAACAAAGGACGTTACGGTGATTAGCCTTCATCAGCACACAAAGACAACAACACACATCCACAAATTTGCCTAATTATGAAATGACTACATAGGACTATAATGTACTAAATTAATGATACTCATCTCTGTCCCAGGCGGCATACCGGAAGTGCCGGTTCTGATGCTTCTTGGGGCAAAAGGGTTAACTGTTTGTAACCTTTAAAATCATACACTGTGAAGTTATTAAACCCACCTGGAAGTTTGTCACTCCTTGCATGTTCGGCGTAGATATTTCCTGGTGAATGATGAACAAATTTCTGACAAATGTTGCTAGAGCACCCTGTAAATCCTCTCCAATGGTTCTGAAATATAAAAAAATCCTGTCAGCTTCCATGAATACTGACAGACACAAAACACAGTGAACACTGCAGACACAAAAACAAGTGAACACTGCAGACACAAAACTCAGTGAACACTGCAGACACAAAACACAGTAAACACTGCAGACACAAAACTCCGTGAACACTGGCAGACACAAAACACAGTGAACACTGCAGACAAAAAAACAAGTGAACACTGCAGACACAAAACTCAGTGAACACTGCAGACACAAAACTCAGTGAACACTGCAGACACAAAACTCAGTGAACACTGGCAGACACAAAACTTAATGAACACTGCAGACACAAAACTTAATGAACACTGCAGACACAAAACCTAATGAACACTGCAGACACAAAACTCAGTGAATACTGCAGACACAAAACTTAATGAACACTGCAGACACAAAACTTAATGAACACTGCAGACACAAAACCTAATGAACACTGCAGACACAAAACTCAGTGAACACTGCAGACACAAAACTCAGTGAACACTGCAGACACAAAACTCAGTGATCACTGCAGACACAAAACACAGTGAACACTGCAGACACAAAATTTGGTGAACACTGGCAGACACAAAACTTAGTGAACACTGGCAGACACAAAACTTAGTGAACACTGGCAGACACAAAACTTAGTGAACACTGGCAGACACAAAACTTAGTGAATACTGGTAGACACAAAACTTAATGAACACTGGCAGACACAAAACACTTAGTGAACACTGGCAGACACAAAACTTGGTGAACACTGGCAGACACAAAACTTGGTGAACACTGGTAGACACAAAACTTAATGAACACTGCAGACACAAAACTCAGTGATCACTGCAGACACAAAACTCAGTGATCACTGAAGACACAAAACTCAGTGAACACTGCAGACACAAAACTCAGTGAACACTGCAGACACAAAACCAGTGATCTCTGCAGACACAAAACCAGTGATCTCTGCAGACACAAAACTTGATGAACACTGCAGACACAAAACTCAGTGATCACTGCAGACACAAAACTTAGTGAACACTACAGACACAAAACTCAGCGAACACTGCAGACACAAAACTTGGTGAACACTGCAGACACACAACTCAGTGATCACTGCAGACACAAAACTCAGTGATCCCTGCAGACACAAAACTCAGTGAACACTGGTAGACACAAAACTCAGTGAACACTGCAGACACAAAACTCAGTGAACACTGCAGACACAAAACTTAGTGAACACTGCAGACACAAAACTTAGTGAACACTGCAGACACAAAACTCAGTGAACACTGCAGACACAACACCTAATGAACACTGCAGACACAAAACTTAGTGAACACTCAGACTCAAAACTTGGTGAACACTGCAGACACAAAACTTAATGAACACTGCAGACACAAAACTTAATTAACACTGCAGACACAAAACTTAGTGAACACTGCAGACACAAAACTTAATGAACACTGCAGACACAAAACTTAATGAACACTGCAGACACAAAACTTAATTAACACTGCAGACACAAAACTTAATGAACACTGTCAGACACAAAACTTAATGAACACTGCAGACACAAAACTTAATGAACACTGCAGACACAAAACTTAATGAACACTGCAGACACAAAACTTAATGAACACAGCAGACACAAAACTTAATGAACACTGCAGACACAAAACTTAGTGAACACGGCAGACACAAAACTTAGTGAACACGGCAGACACAAAACTTAGTGAACACTGCAGACACAAAACTCAGTGATCACTGCAGACACAAAAGTTAGTGAACACTGGCAAAAACAAAACTCAGTGAACACTGCAGACACAAAACTTAGTGAACACTGCAGACACAAAACTCAGTGAACACTGCAGACACAAAACCTAATGAACATTGGCAGACACAAAACCTAATGAATACTGGCAGACACAAAACTTAGTGAACACTGCAGTCACAAAACCTAATAAACACTGCAGACACAAAACTTAGTGAACACTGGCAGACACAAAACTCAGTGAACACTGGCAGACTCAAAACTTAGTGAACACTGGCAGACACAAAACTTAGTGAACACTGGCAGACACAAAACCTAATAAACAGTGGCAGACACAAAACTCAGTGAACACTGCTGACACAAAACTTAGTGAACACTGGCAGACACAAAACGTAATGAACACTGGCAGACACAAAACTCCGTGAACACGGCAGACACAAAACTCAGTGAACACTGCAGACACAAAACTTAGTGAACACTGCAGACACAAAACCTAATGAACACAGCAGACACAAAACTTAGTGAACACTGGCAGACACAAAACTCAGTGAACACTGGCAGACACAAAACTTACTGTGTTACTCTCTTCTAGTCACTAAAATATTCAGTTGAGATTTGTCAGTTCTAACTTTCAAAACATTAACTTCAGCAATACATGGTAATGTGACCTGCCTATTTTAGCATTACACTGTCAGTATGGTATCACCACTATTCACAGGTATTTTCTCTCTAGTAACTTCAGTTTGTAAATATTATGATTATTCTAAATCTATGGATACCACTAAATTTGTGCTGCAAGTTGTTAATTATAGATTAAGCAACTGGCATTGGCTACATCAGAAAGCCACAAACTTAACTGTACCAAACAAAGTAAAAAATTTTAACAAAGAAGACACGAGCAATAGATTGTACAGTTTATTGCCTGGCACATTTCACTTTTATCTCGTCAGGTCTATGCTATAGTAACAATTAAACAAGGTAAAAAAATGATACTATCACACAGACTGTGGGAATAAAACTCCAAATTCAATGAGATACAAAAGATACAAATGGTTTGGTCCTTTCATTAGAATGCAGCCAAACCAACTACCAACACAGGGACAACACAGGGACAACACACAGGGACAACACAGGAAAAGATGTGAGGTGAAAGCATTAAAGACCGTGACATCGACCCAGAATACAAATAACCATCGCTACCCTTGAAGCAATAGATTGCAAACTGTTCCTTCCCATGATGCCTAATCGCAAAAGTGGAACTGGTGATGACTAACTACATCCCACAAAAATAATAAATAGATTTCATAATTGATATACTTGTGAAAGTTTATAAAACTAAGAATAAACAATGTTTAAAACTCAAGTCTAAGTATACAACTGAAGCAGACCCTCTGTTGGAAAAGATCACCATACACTGGTAAATACTTACAGCATTCCAAGTCTTTCTCGGTTGAAACTGTCAATGAGAGTGAATGCTGTACCTGATTTGTCCTGCAATGATCAAATAGACACAGGTGCTCAGGAGAGGCTTTATATAACACTATAGTTAAATCAGAGCTCAACAGAAATACAAAAAAGTAAAAAAAAAATTATTTAATCAAAGATTACTTTTGTTGTTGTTGTTATTGCTGGTGTCTGTACAGAAGTTTAGTTTAATCATACAGTATAAACCCCTTTTATCCTTGTGCATGCCTTGCAATGTGCAAGCAATGAGAATTGTTTTTTTAAACCTCTGATAGATTTTTTTTTAAAGTTTCTTTTCATTCTAAATGTAACAAACCTAGACAGGTATCCAGAACTTGCAGAAACTATTCAACATAGTGTCTGTTACACACATTTCTATAGTTGAAAACAAAATGTTGTAAACAAAAGCCATATATGTACTAGAGATTCTAAATATTCAAATGTCATGTTTTTTTAATCTCTTTATTAACAAAAAGGAGAGAAACAAAGTATTATATATTTATCTACATATATAATACCTTAATATCATATCCAATACCGTGCGCCCTACACATCTGAAAGAAGACACTGTAATGAATCACAGCCAGGTTGGAGTGCATCAGACGAGTGCTCATCACAGCATAGCGTGTTTTGCTGGGTGTGCTCTGTAAGAACAAGAAAGTATATGTATTTATTATTTCTCTCAAATTCTAAACGTAGTCTCATAAAAATCACTCCATCTCATAAAACTTAATTCTCACTATTTGTGTGTACTCAGTACACCTTTAACTTCTTTCACTTTAACCATCAGAGATGGCGTGTTAGTTCTGCATCCATGACAGCACAATGGAATTATTCTCGAGCAGTTTGGTTATTTGTATGTTGTCAGGAGAGCTGTGATACTGATATGTCAGTTTCTGTGGGCATGATAGTAGTGATCCAAGTTGACTGTCGGAGCAGGACAGCAGCTTCCCTGGATGTCAGAGGCTGAGTATTCATCACCATCATGTGCATTTAGTATCATCAGCATCATGTAGGTGTAGAATACACTCAGATACACAAGTTCTTTATAATGAAATAGGTCTGATTAACTGGAATGTTGACAGTGTGTTGTGGGAGGGGAGACAGATTGAGACTGAGTGAAGATGGCGTACAATTTGGCATCATGGCATAGAAAAACATCCATATAAGATATGAATAAAGGCATACAAGAAAGAAAGCTGTGGGCAGACATGATGACTAATGCCAAACAGCAAGGGCTATAAGGAAATACTGACAATATATTGTAAAAAAAGAAAAAAAAAGTTTGTCGTCCCCATGTGGGATGCAATTTTTCGTTATTTGAAGCCCCACCCTGGCTTTTGCTGGGGGCCCTAAATATAGCCGGGTCATAAATATGGTGTAACGGCTGAAGGGGGTTTCTGGGACCTCTCAACGGGTGATCCTCATCCGCATGGTGGCACTTTGTGTCACTGGGTGTCTATCACTTTATGAAAAAAACAGAAACATTTCCTTGAAAATACAAATTTGAGCATTATAAAAGTAAAGTAAAGGTAAATGACCCCTTCTCGACACCTTCAGACAAATTAGGCACATAAGGTTAGACCTATATTTTATAAACCAATGAGCACTTGATGGGTGATGTGGTCAGCATCCAACTGGCCACCTTAACTTCCCAGAACTTCACCTGGTACCCATTTAAGGCCGGGTTGACCTGGGTAGATCATTCAGGAAAGAATTCAAAGTAAAATAAACAATAAAATGTCTGAGGAACAGTTTGGATTTTGGAAAAATAGTGGCACTACGGAAGCCATAATGTATTTAAAGACGCTAACTTAAAAATATACAGAAGTCCAGAAAAGTATTTATGCATGTTTCATAGATTACAAGGAAGTCTTTGAAAGGGTGCAACATGAAAAGCTTCTAAAATATAAGATTAGATGGACAGGATATCAGAATTACAAGTTACAACAGTTAGACACAACATCACCTCACCGCAGACAGAGATAATAAGAGGAGTAGAAATAACTCATGAAGTCAGACCCAGAAAGAGAGTGATTTCCCTTGCCATTTAATCCTGGTTGTGTTGTAGGGCAGTGTCACAGGGGTGTCACACTTAGTAAGTGTCCAGCAATACAATGTATTTTATGCGTTGTTGTCATGCTGTTGTGGGATGTAGGCTGCACTCTCTACGTGGGATGTAGGCTGAAGCTGTGGCATAAGGGGGTTAAGGTTTAGGCCAGTTCTACAAGTTTTGGGACCTTTAAAAGTGCTCACACTGTGGAATATAGACCACGAGATATCGCCAGCCGGTGACAACACCATGTAAAATTCGTTGTGTTGCTGGACGCTCACTAAGCATGACACCCCTGCAACATAGAATATGTCCTACGATGGACCAGGATGAATGGCAAGGAAAGCCACTCTCTTTCTGGGCCAGAGATAGTGAGTTGTATGTGGAATATAGACCACGAGATATCGCCAGCCGGTGACATCACCATGTAAAATTCGTTGTGTTGCTGGACGCTCACTAAGCATGACACCCCTGCAACATAGAATATGTCCTACGATGGACCAGGATGAATGGCAAGGAAAGCCACTCTCTTTCTGGGCCAGAGATAGTGAGTTGTACCGAGGAGTACATCAGGGATGTGTGTTATCCCCGAGCTTTTTCAACTTATATACAGAAAACATTTAAAAACAGGTTGAGGAATTGCCTGGACTGAATATAATTGGACGAACAATAAACAATCTCAGATACGCAGATGAGACTGTGCTACTAGCAGAAAGTGAGCAGGAGTTACAAGAACTAGTTGACCATGTCAACAGGTGGAGTGTAGAGTAGGGTTTAGACATTAATGTTCAAAAAACAAAAACTATGGTAATTAACAATGGAAAAGAGCCGCCGACAATAAACATCACAGTCAATGAAGAGCTATTAGAACAAATTTCAAGTTTTTCCTATCTGGGACACTTAGTATTTATACCACCAACTCTGCCTAATTCAGTACCAGTATGCTTGCTATTTTATTTATTCAACACTGGAATCTGCAACCTTAACCGATCGAATGATATATATATTTTAAAAAGCTTCAGAATAATTTCAACAGATTTGACGACTTCAATATCCCAAATAATATAATTTTATTCGTTCAAGATCCTTTTAAAATCCCTCCTGCGGGTAATTTTTCTTTCAATGCTAAGAAGTTGATATCCTCTGTTGATGAAGGTTCTCTGCAGTTAGAACTTGTAGATATCCAAAGTTCCAGCACACTGAATGAAGATTTTCAAGCAGTACTGCCAAGTTTTGGTACATGAGGATTCAACAGCAGCAGTTCTCTAATGCTAGAAAAGTTGCTGCATTCATACTCACCATGTCTGGCTCAACTTTCACTTGTGAATCAAGCTTATCCCACATGAATGTCATCAAGACAAACAGTCGGAGCTCACTGAGCAATGATAGGCTGCAGGATTGCATGAGAATTGCTCTAACTCCGACCAGCCAAATTTGGTAAAATTAGCTCAAAAACGAAAATGCAGCATTTCCCATTAATTACATTTTGCATCGTTATACCGTTCGGTTTCTTCTGCAGAACATGAAATCAACTGTGGACAATTGTTATTATTATTGTGACAATGTAATGGAAGTGATAAAGGTAACGTTTATTTATGATCCCAGCGACAAGTTGGAAATAAGGGTAATTTAATTAAAATTTATCCCCGAGTGGGTTCCAGGGGCCAATTGTGGGTAAACGAGAATAGACCCACTGCCTACCAAAAAAAAATGTCGCAAGAGTCGACTAATTGGGAGCTTCCTTCGAAGTCGGAGTACATCTGCCTGAGAGCCAAGGAACCTACAGTTTGCATGCAAATGAGTAAGACGTGTAAAACAAATGTGTACGCAACATACAGTTTTTGGAACAGGACTAGAGTCCAGAAGTAGACCTACAACAAGAACTCTCTGCTGGAGTTTACAGCCAGTGAATACGAAGAAGAAGAATTAAAAGTGAGTATTAATTAATCATTACAGAAGATTGTAGTATACTTCACATTATAATGGTTTACAACACTGCTTCATTTATGTAGGCTACGTCCTAGGCGTAATAGTTTTCGAGTGTATTTAATCTACAGATTGAAAATGTTGTCAATTGTAGTGTGGGCTCGGGCCACTGGCCCACAATGATCTCTATGTTCAACATTTTGGCCCGCGAGCAAGCTTAGTTGAATAGCCCTGCATTAGACCATATTTAGGACCGGGCTATATTGCAGCCCCTGGCAAGAGCCAGGGTGGGGCATCAAAATAACGAAAAATTGCATCCCACAAGGAGATGACTAGTTGTAAGGGAAATTACAAAGGACTGTGGATAACTATTATGCAAAAACGATAATACTAGTGACTAAAAATACCCTTAATTTGATTATACTTGTACAAATCTTTTTCTAGCTATCACAGATTTTAATTTCAGATTTAAATACTTGCTATAAAACATGAGGAAAAAAATTTAAAAAATGGTCTATCATGCCTCGATTTGCTCATTCAGCTGTCTGGCAGTCTACTCTACAAGTTAAAATTTTATGTCACCCTCAACCAATTAAAATCTTTTACCACACCAAGGATTAGAATCCATGCATCATGATGCGACACCAGTTGTCTACCATTTAGCCTTTAGTAAATATTTTAAATATAATTAAATGTAGAATTGTTAATGTATGAGGTAATATACATTTTAAGGAAGTCACATTTTAAATATACGACAGTTGAAAGATGCAATAAAATATCTCAGTACACAATTTAAGACCGACATACTTGTTCAGTCAGCCTCCGTCTGCTGGACTTGTTCTCTTTTGTGGGCAGTGTCACCTCAAAGACATGAGTCTTGGGATGGAAGGTGCCATGAGTCACATACTCCATCAGTCTGAACATGGCCAGATGGTCACTGTAGTGTAAGCTCAAATCTAAGGCCCACAGCTGCTGGACCATCTGAGTTTACATGACACCAGAGAAAGAAATTATACAATTCAGATTAATGTAAACTAAAACACTGACAATTATACATGTTGCTCTGTTAGTGTGTATATATTTAAACTGTGTGCTACTTTTTTTAATGAAAAATAAAATTTCATAAAACATTTTCTCTAAACGCCACATTAAAAAAAAAAAAGTCTAATATTCTGCTGCTGTTTTTAGGCTTGAACCCTGACCATAAAAACACTACTGCATGAACTGTCAAAGCAGAAGCAATTCACTGTTCACCCAGTTAGAGGTCATCATCATCAGGTGCCTTGCCGACTGGTGTTGGCGATCATGCCTCACCACAATCAGCAATTTCCTGCAGCATGTATCAGTTCGTGTGCTGACACACCTCCATGCCATACAACAAGACTGTTAATAATCTTCTCTCGTTGTCTTCCTCTATTACCCCTTCCCCGGATCTTTCCAGTGGACACATGTTCCATTTTCCCTCTTCTCATAACATAGCTGAAAAATGATGTCTTTTGGCTTCTACCTCTTTTAAAACCTCTTGGTTGTTCTTTTTTGGCTGTCCAAGGTATTTTAAGCATTCTTCTGTAAAACCACATCTCGTACTGTATGGCTTCAATACTTATTTATTTGTTGTTGGCACCTTTCTGTCTTTCTAGATGATAGTGTTTCACTGTGCTATGAGAAAACATGGAAAACACAACTCATAGTGATAAGCAAATGTCACTAGCAAGACCCGCCCACTTAAAAAAAAAAAAAAAATCTTCCACAAATAGAGCAGGAGATTTCAGGACCTTTGTTGCTATCACATGTATTTAGTTTGCTTCTTTGTAGTAGATGTCAGCCTCGACATTTTTTACCTATCTCTTATTCACCACAGGAGAGTCACCATGGCATAGTGGCTAGACGCTCGCCTGCAGATTGGAAGGTCGTGGGTTTGCTTCCTGGTACAGTAGGACCTTTTTTTTCAAAAATGACTTTGGCTCCCAGAAATATCCAGCCTTGAGTGGGTACCAGGCGCAGTCCTAGGAAGTAAAGGTGGCCAGCGTGAAGCTGACCACATCACCAATCTTGTGCTGATTGGTCTATAAAAATATAGATCTAGCACTATATGCCCTATACACCTTAAGGCGTGGAAAAGGTTACTTTACTTTACTTATTCACCACAGACCGACCTCAGTGAGTCGACCATCCTCCATTCTCTAAGTGTGACCCAGCCACCTGAGTCTTTCGGAGACTGAGCATTGAGAAAAATAACATACACAAAGATCAGTGATCCAGGGCTGTAGATGTCTGATCTCTCATGCAGTGGAACACACCAGCTGTTCTGTCTCCAGAGCTAGGTCTAGCCCTATGAGTACTTATACTTATATGGGTGAAAGCGACACACTTAGGTTGCACGTTCCTTGATCAGGAAATCCCTTCTACAGTCAAGACCGCTGTGCGTGACCAAAGAGGCACAAAACACCACGGATCTAGAGGAAACAACCTAGATAAAAAATTTTAAAAACCTATGCCTACGGTAGACCTACGTGCCTAGTGGCTGAAGGACTGTGTGGGTTATACAGTCGTGAACGAGAAACGTCTGGTTAGCGGGTGGGGCGGCGCCAGGCATATGGACTCCGTCAGGACATCCTCTGCCTCTTCCCTAGCAAGCAGGCAATACTAAGGTGACCGTTTACTTCCTGCTCCATAACAACTTCAATATTTGGATTTTTCATTTTCATTTAATAAGAATTAGCTAGGGAGCACATGCTCTGCGCTTGACGTTATCTTCAGCAAGCAGCAAAGAGAGAGTGAAGAGGAGAAAACAAGGAAATTGTGAGAGAAGAAAGCAGAAAAATAGAAGGGCAGGAGCCAGGAGATTTAGGTGAAAAACAGAACAGCTAGGGTTCAGTCATGTGAGAGTGTATTTTTGGAACTGTCGCAGTGCCAGACAGAGAGGGCCCATACTAGAGAGGTTAATTTAGGACTTTGATGTAATCATGCTTCAAGAGCTGAATGCAGACAAATATCATTTTCCTGGATATGTCAGCTACATAAACCCTGCTGGACATCATGGGAGACATGGGCAATGTCTGCTAGTGAAGGAGGGCTTGAAACATGGGGTGCTTCACCTGAGTCATTGGAATCATGATGCTAGAGAGGTGCAGGGAATACAGATGAAGATTGGGGGCCTACGTTGGAACATAATTACTGAATATGCTGCTGTGGGCTCTTTAGTTACAAAATAACAGTGGGACTGACTGAAATCTGGTAATCTGGTAATCCTAGTTTCAGCTTCATAGCAAACGGGTCACCCCACATATGCTCCGCTCCTGTGCCAACGAAAAACAAACGCAGCTCACAGTGTCACGCCATGCACTCAACTCAGAAGCTGGGCGACGAAACTACATCCTTCCAGTCTACAAATGGAGCAAAAATGCAACGGCCACCGTCTGGCAAAAAAAAAAAAAAATATTTGCCACAGCTTTACAAAAAAAAAAAAAAGGGTGGACGTACCTAGCGTCCATTTTGACCAGAAGAATTATATGAGGGTTAATAAACGGTCACCCCAGCAGTACCCTCATTATTAGCTGGGGAAGGGACTTAGGACATTACATCCACCAGCAGGCGTCGCCCCTACAACGACCTGCCTGCCATTGTTAACGACTGTTCACCCAACAGCAATGCAGTTCTTTGGCACGAAGGAGACACCTTGAACTTGGGTTTCGTACTGCCGACTCCCTACTAAGTTGTTATTTTATGTTCTGTTATCACAATTAATGTCACTGCACATTGGGTATACCCATGTGTGCTCAGTTCTCCGAAGCAGCAGCCACTCTAAAGTACTTCTACTAATTGTCCCCATGAGAAGCTGGTTATATTGTCTCCTTTCTCGGCCTCGAAGACGGCAAAGACGTGCATCACCATGCTTAACTCCCATGTCACGCAATCGTGTTAGTGTCAGGGATTCCTCATTCTCCACTAGCCCAGTTCGTACAGCGTTGACTATGTCTGCTCTGTCCACACTTTTTCCCGCAATCATTAGTGCAGTGCTTGCCAGTTGGTCTGCTCGCTCATTTCCCTTCACGCCCGCATGACCCGGTGTGTAGATCCAGGTTACGGAGGTTAAGTGCGATTTCCTGATGCTTTCTATCCATTCAGAGCGCATACTGCCTGTTGCTATCTTCTGAAGCATATTCATTGAGTCTGAGACAATTACTACCTGTGTGGCGGTTTGCTCGGATACCCATGCTAAAGCTCTAGAAGCAGCGGCTATTTCCATTGTCATGCTTGACGTGGTTGTCTGGTAAGCGCCGCTGTCCTCATGTATTGTTTTCCCCTTTCTTTGCGCTGTGTATGCCCATGCTGACCTTGATCCGCGCTTCACGGATCCATCTGTGTAGATGATGGTATCTTCTGGGTCTGAATGCTGATCTATCAGTTCCCTTACTTCTGTGTCTACCGCCGCAGGAATTTGATCCCTGCAGTACCTTCCGAGTGTGATGACAACCTTAGAGATGCCATGCATGTCTACTGGTGTATTCGTCCATTCTTTTCCGTGGCTGATCACGTCTAGGTCACATACCTGCTGGATTAAGTCCTCAGCCTTTGCTGACTGAAAGACCTGTAGGGGATTCCTGGCAACAGGGTCCCCATTTGTGGGGATTTCAATTCACAAAACAATGAAGAGGACAGTACTAGGGAAAACCAACAGGGAGTTGCCCTTGCTGACGCCATGGTTAATTCAGACCTTGTCTGCTTAAATGATGGGACGCCAACTAGAATGGCAATGAGGCCCGGCAATGCAAACATGGCTATTGACCTGCTCTGGTTACCCAGTCAGCAGTACTGGACACCAAATGGACTGACCTGGGCGATCATGGAAGTGACCATCTGTCATGTTCGGTATTGATTTCCAAATCCAGGAAAGTCAAGGCTTCAAGAGCTCATAGGCCTTTCAAGTATGAGCGGACTAAGACCCTTTTTGGACTCCTCAGACAGAGGGCATGTAAGAGGGCCAGCAGATCTACTTTTGTGCAGCCTCCATGGTGGACATCAAGGTTGAACAGGCATGGAATTTAAAGAGAGCTGCAGTAAAGCGTATAAAGAAAGTGCGACAGACAGTCCTAAGCTCACAGGAAGAGTTAAAGTGCGTGGAAAGAGATAAGAAAGATAAGATAGAGTTCTTCCAGCGCTGTGTGGCAGAGGCGAAAAAAGCAAAATGGGAGCATTTTATTGATGAGATTGGGAGCGATAAGAAAATGGGGAAGTTTTGGAAGCTATATAGACAGATGTTCAAGAAAGATCGGCCCAGTGTAGCAGGAGTAATTCATAGAGATGACTATTAACTACAGACAAAGAGAAGGGGGAGGTTTTCCTGAAGAGGTTCATTTCACAGACAGACCACAATGATGGAGATAAAAGAGATAGAGTTAGAGAAGATCTGGCAGCCATCTTAAAGAACAAACATCATGAAGACATCATACAGGTGGAAGATGTAAAATCTGTTCTGAAAAGGGCGAAAAAACACTGCATCCGGACCTGATGGGGTTAGATATTTCCACATGAAAGACATGAGTTAATGCAAACCTGTTGGAGATGACTGCTTGCTTCAACCAGAGCAATAGAACAGCTTCAGTCCCAGAAGAGTGAATGCACAGCTACTTGATTCCACTTCCTAAGCCTGGTAAGAATCATTCCACAATCTGTGGCTTTAGGATCATAACCCTACAAAACACCTTTGGTAAAGTGCTAGAGAAGGTAGTGGTAAGCTACAAGAATTTTAGGAACAGAGAAATCTCCTTGGAGATTGGGAAGTTACCGGCCCGGGAAGGACACATGGTCAAATGCAGCCACTTTTGCCTTTGATACCTTCAAAGGTTTCCAGAACAGACAGGAAATGGTGGCAGTAGCACTCGATTTAGAAGGCGCTTACAACAGAGTCAGATACAGTATCTTGATAAAAGCGCTTATGGAGAAGGCAGTATGTCCTTGGTTGGTGAACTGGATAGCAGCCATTTTGTATACTCACCGGGTAGCTCTCCACCAGGTTTCATGGACCACTGAACCGTGTATAATAGCTCCCGGACTGCCACAGGGATCTACAATTTCACCTGTACTATTCAATGTTTTACGAGTAAGATTGCCTGCCTGGAAACACATGGAGTTGGCAGAATATTAACATTTGCAGATCTGCCTGAAGAGTTACAGGCAACAGTAGATAACGTGATCGACTGGTGTACAGAGATAAGTGCTGTAATCAACCCAGAAAAGGCAACCATCCTGTGGTGTTTTTTGGACAACAGGATTATTAGAGCTGATGTTCCCAGACTCAAAATAAATGGCAGGGACATCAAAAGAGACAGCAGACTGCGGTACCTGGGAATCATCTCTGACAGAAGTCTGTCTTTCAAGGATCACATAGAGGTAGTTGTGACAAGGGCTCAAAAAGGTCTCAATGCACTAAAGATTATGGCAGCGATGGACATGGAGCAGAGAATGCCGTTCACACTTTAATAGCACTTAATCATCTGATTATGGATTGGGGTTACTCACTGTCTCGAAGAGTCAGCTAGAGAAACTGGAGAGCATACAGAATGAAGCTATGCGGCTGATCCTGGGTTGTACAAGAGACTCACCGATTGCGTGCATGCGATACATCCTTAAATTGCCGACTATTGCAGATAGACTAAAGGGGCTGCTGGCTAAGTCATACCTAAGAGTAGCTGCAGACAGGGAACACCCTCACCTTTGGCTGTAATATACTTCTAATCCCTATAAAAGTATATATTTTTTAAAAGAGAAATGAATGTACATTTTGAATCTGATGATAAGTGTTTGTTTAATTTTGTTATAGTTAGTAAGAAAGAAGAATTCAGCAGGTGTTAATTTCACAAGGACAACATTTCACAAACAAATTATTCACTTACCATCATTTTGCAGCCACAAGAGTAGCGAATATCAAAATTTGAGAACAAAACTTCAAGTTTGTTTAATTTCCTAACATATTCCAAAGTTGTGATAAGTTTCTGGGTTAGTTTAGCACTCAGGGGCTCTTAGTTCTCACAGAGTGCTGAGAAAAATTTCAGTGAAAAAATGGCAGAAAAATGAGCCATTACGCACACACTATTTAGTATTTACTTTGTATAGTTATTTACAGACTGTAGCTGCGATAATTTCAATGAAGCTTAGCCATAGTATAGTACAATCTATTTGTTTAGAGCACTTTCCTTCTCTTACACCATAAATACAGTAGTATGGGACATTGTCTGTGTAATAAACTCATCAGAATCGCTAGATTTAAACAGCTGTTCGCTCAGCTTCACTGTTGAAAATTCACCGTCTGAATCACTTTCCGAAAACCTAAATTTTTATTATCATTATCACAATTAAAAACATCTGACTGAAACAATTTCTGTGCTTGTGGTTGGAACATTGGTATTCATAGCACTCGAAAACGAACTAGAAAATGCAATGTTGAAAAAAATTTTGCTATTATTTCTATCAAATTATTTACGTGTTTCTTAGGCAATGAAACCCAAAAGATTTTGGCAGAGTGACTTTCCCTGAATAGTTTAATCATACCTCCGAACATTAGAAACTAGTACGAAGGCGTGTGCGAAGCAAAATGTGCGGGTCACACAATCGATGAAGACAGCGTTGTTTGGGCAAAATGGAACTTTTCAAACAACGCTCACACCGCTGCTTGGGCCTTAAAGAGTTAAGACTGATGTAAGGCTGTTCTTAATGTCATCACTCCATTTTTGTTTGTTTAAGGTCTTTTCCTAGCTGTATACCCATTGTAATGTTTTAGTGTAGCTCATTGTGGCAGATAGTACCAGGCATTCTTTTTGGGTGTCCAAGCCACTTCATTTGTTGTTCTTTGATGACTAATAACACTGGCTTTATTCCTAGCATTCATCTGATTTTGTGAATATCTTCAAACTAACATTCTATAAATGTTCCTTTTGAGTTTCAGTCATAATATGAAAAAAGATTGCTTACCGTTTTTGGGTGAATAAAAGTTACAAAATCTATTTTCAAGTATCCAACAATTCCATTTGACTTGCACACATCAGCTATTCTTTGGCATGTGACATTAAGTGCGGACGGCTCAATGGATGACTGTGGAAATGATAATCCCCAGCATGAGAACTGGCTGTCTGCATGAATCTGGTCCCCACAGGTCAGCAGGTTCACAGCGCCAGAGGGTTCAATCAGCAAGTCTGCTGTGAGTGTAGTGATGTTTTCTGATGGGGGACAGGCTTCTATTACACCACCTGTTAAATCAAAGGATATACTAATAATATCTCATGTGGGAGATAAATCTTTAAAACATCAACCAGAGCTCAGAGCAACATCAGTACCCCAGGATTAGACAGACAGCTTGTTAGTCCCACTTCTGAAACCAGGCACAGATCATTTGAGCATAAGTGGTTTCAGGACTATCACTCTACAAAATACTTGGGGCAAGGTGCTAGAGAAGATAATTGCTATTAAACTGCAAACATTTTTAGAAAGGGAAGAGCTTCTGCCAAGAAGTTTGGCAGTTACCAGTCAGGGAAAGAGAAAATGTTCAATTCAAATGCAGCCACTTTTGCTTTTGATGGTTATGAGGGGTTCTAGAACAGACAGAAGATTGTGGTGGTGACTCTTGATCTTTAGGATACCTACAATATACTCAGATATGACATACTGATGTCTGTGCTCATGCAAATGTCTTCTCAATGCTCTGTCTATGAAGGCTTAGGTGGCTGGGTCACACATGGAGGATGGCAGAATCCCTAAGGACAGCCTTGATGGTGAATTAAAGACAGGTAGAAGATGTAGAGGCCGACCTCTACTATGATATAAAGACATGTGCAAGTGGGACATGAATTATACAGGTATTGCGGTGGACTCATGGAAACAAAAATGCAATGGACTGTGTTGTGTAAAGGGGCACATCAGGAAGGAGTAAGAATGAAAGAAGAAATTATTGCAGAAAGGATTAGAGATGAGTGTCTGAGTTGAAACGACTAAATACAAATGTTGACAACAATGGTCCTGAAATCCCATAGAGTTTTCTTAACTCTTTGAGTCCCAGAGGGTTTAGCATCACAGGCCAAAGGGTAGTCAAAAGAGACTAAAATTGGCACATTATGCATTCACTGGGCTTCTAGGCAGTAACCTATGAATGAATGATGCATTCCTTGGGACTCAAAGAATTAACGTGGGCAAGTCATGTTAGTCACACTTGCCATCGCCATAGGCTGAGTCCCATGCCTCCTCATAGCGCAATATAACACTATCGTCTGGAAAGATGGAAAGGTGCCAGTCAACTGCTCATGGAGAATGGAGTCTTGTCCCTCACTAGTGAACTAGATAGCAGCGGTCCTGCATTAACATATGGGTGCCCTCCATCTGTAATATCACCCCAGGACTACCCCAGGATTCTGCAATTCTACCAGTGCTCTTCAATGTGTATACAAGTAAGATTTCAGAACTTAAAACACCAGAAGTTGGTACAGTATTGACATTTGCAGATGATGTTCTTGCATATAAGCAGGGAAATGTTAAGCAACATACAGCCTAAGAACTACAGGCAACTGTAGACAAAGTCACTGACTGATGTGCATAAATGGATATTGTTATCAATCCAGAATAGGCGGCTTTTTTTATAGTGCTCTCTAAACAATAGCATTATAAGAGCTGATGTCCAAGACTCCAGTGTATAACAGAAATATAAGAAAAGAAAGCAAACTGAGGTACCAGGGTATTACTTACAACAGAAATCTGTCCTTCAGGGATCATGTGAAGGCAGTTGCAGTGAAATGCCAAAAAGGACTCAATGCACTCAACATTATTGCAGCAATGGACATGAAACAAAGAATGATGTTCATAACATTCCAGCACATAATCCTCTCATTGACAGATAATAGCCATTAGAGTAATTTAGGGATGTACAAGAGATACCCAGTAGTGTATATATATATACTTGCACTGCCGACTATAACAGACAGGCTCAAAGTTCTGCAAGCAAAGTCAATTCTCAGAGTAGCCGCAGATGGGAAGCAACTCCTGCATGAAGCTAAATGTTAGAAACTGAAAAGAGAAGGTTTTAGATGTCACAAACATAAGACACATTTAGACATGTGTGCGGGCTTGATAATATTAGGTAACGAAATAAATGGTCAAAGTGCCTGAGCAAGTGAGAGGCAGACAAAGTCCACGAGGGTTCATTAAAAAAGTGAATAAATGTTGCTGAATGCAGCAAAGCCTGAAATATGATACCACAACATTTAGTGTGAGAATGGATGTGGAGGTAGTCACTGCAGCTTTCTACTGGCTTCAGAACCCCAGCTGTACAAACATGTATTTGTAATTGACTCTCAGAGTATGTTGAGAAATGTGGAAACATTATGCTCTGTACAGAGAGGTAAGCATCAATCACTTTGTAGGTCCCAGGTAGTTAGCATCCTTTGAATATTCACTCCAGGTTATGCTGATGTGTTGTAAAACAAACTGGCAGATAGACTGGCTGCTTCTGCACCACATGGTGGTGAATTGTTGTATTTTCTTCTTCTTCTTCATGTTCACCAGCTGCAAACTCTGGCAGAAAGTTCTAGTTCTTCGTCCACTTCTGGACTGCAGTCCTGTTACAGAACCTGAGTGTTGCCTGTGCAATCGTTTTACAGATCTGACTCATGTGTATGTAGACTACTGGTTCCTTGCCTCTCAGGCAGATGCATTCCCACTTTTAAGGAAGCTCCCAGTTAGTCGACTCTTACGACATGCTTTTGGGTAGGCAGTGGGTCTATTCTAGTTTTCCCTCTAATAGGGCCCCGGACCCCACACAGGGAGAACTGATGTATGACAAGTTAGATTTTGTAAGGGTCTTTTGGGAGCGAATGAACAGTTCAAAGGTATAAATAGGTCAACATGGTCTGACGAGAACAGTGCTGTAAGTAGTGACCAGGAGATTTGTCCAATGTTCACTCTGAAGGGAAAGGTGAGGCGGATATGCAATCAGACTGTTACTGGCGCCATCGGAATTGGAACTTTGTACTTGCTGCTGAAAATGGGGATGGAGTGCTTATTGGAATATCCTGAGTGCTGTGATGTCGATTCTCAATTCAACATTTAACTCTTGGTAAGAGGACTGTTGAGAATACATGCCCTACCTTAATTTACTGTATTAATTACATATAAATTAAATGAAATATAATTTAATATAAATTAATGAAAAAACTAATGTTTACAAATGTTATAACCTTGAGATAAAAATGCCTGTAGGAACTGATCCCAAGTGGGAAACATCTTGCTGTTGACTGGCTGTGCATAGTTTTGCAAAATGTCTGGAATTTCAGCAGGATTTTGACATATGCTGCTTCCTGTCAACATCAAATAGCAACAACACATAGTACTTCAGAGGGTAAAACTAGAAAAATATAATATTAGTTTGTTTTAATGAGTGTAACTTATAATACAATCCTTTGAAATAACAATTTTAACATTTACCATTATTGGTGTTTTTTTTTTTTTTTTAAACATTAATGAAGGAATAAATTAACAAGTAATCAACTTAGTACATGTTAAGTAAATATTTTGAGGTTCATCCTGTCAACAACAAAAATTTAAAAAACAAAACAAAAAAGAGGTCCTTTTTCCACAACTTCAGGCATATTGGGCATATAGGGCTAGACATATTTTATAGACCAATCAGCAGCTGATGGGTGATGTGATCAGAATCTTGCCAGCCTGTCAGCAACAGTCAACATTATTTATGACAATTCTTTAAATTTGTTGTTAGCAAACTGAAGAACAGAGACGTACTGTGAAGTAAAAGTAATATAAACTGAAGAAATTGTAGTATGTAATGGCATTTACATATTACAAAAATAAACACTTAATGACATAATCTAGTGACCAACGTTCTACTTGATATAAATATAGGTAGCTAAGGTTGCTATGTTAAACACACTTTAAAGGTATCACTGTAAAAATTTTGAATTATTCAGAGACCCGTTTAGTTGTATAGATGTTGAAAAATGTAACCTAAAAGTACCCCCCCATTCGTTAATCTTGTTAAAATGGAGGGATTAAATGTCCAAATTGGAAAACTGTTTTCTTTTAGTTTTTGATTTATTGGTGGCACAGTGAAAAAAAAATTTTGTTACATTATTTCTTTCACTTTGGAATCATATTGGATCTCTTTTTTTATCCATTAGGAAAACTAAATGACATCTATGTTACCTACTAATAATTTATTATTGAGGTGAAAGTTGACTTAACTTACTAGGTTTTTGATGATAAGATGACTGAAAACAGATAATGGCAAAAATATGATAATGTCGATAATCCTTCAGAAAAAAATGACAAGAATATCACAGGATTATATTACACCCAAAAAAAAAAAGGAAAATTTAAGGTAAAACATTACTTATAGTGACCTCAATTATCTTAAAGCAATGGTGATAGAAGTAAACTGTACTGTAAAAAGGATTTAATAACAATATGATAATGTTGGCAACAGTGAATAGACTGTGATAAACATAGTGACTACAAGATTTTAATTATGGCAACTGGGCTGAGGATGACATCCTATCAAGTGTGTCATAAGAGGCAACTGTGGGTAGGACTGGCGTGAAGTTGGCTACCTTATCCCATAAAACACTTCAGCCACACACACACAAAACTGAGAAAATCTGATAATAGTAAATATAATGTAATGTAATGAGCCCACCTGGTCATTGGAATTAAGGCAAACCAAAATTCACATTCTGAAGGGAATTAGTGAGTGAGTGAAAAGGGTGGAAAAGACATGAGGTGAGTATACATGATAGCACAGAATAGGATGCCTTGGAGTGAAGGCCTATGTTAACACTGTGGGATAAAGAGTGGAAAAAGAAACCTGATGAGGATACATATCAAGGTATGGAGTCACATCTTTTACTTTACCGCTTACCTAACTTACCTCTGATATTATTTGCTTTTTCACACAAGGAATTTTTTTTTTTTAAATTCTGACAAATATACACGTGCGTGTTTAAGAGTTTTTTTTTTCTTTTTTCTTGAAATGATAATGTAAATATGAGTGCCATAATGTCAGGATAAATACATAAACACCATAGAATATAAACAAATTTAATGGAATTATTAGCTTTTAAGCAAACATCTTAGCCAGCTGCTTGCTGGCATGCTATGGCATCAGGCCACTTCTCATACTCAGACATCTGATTAGATGAATTCATAACATTTCAGAGAATAACAGGATTATGACAGCATATGAATGAATGCACTTACCTAGCAACCCAACCATACCACAAGTGATCCTCACTTTATAAAGTATTTGTTTTCCTGACCATGTTTTAAAAAAATGGGTGCCAAAAACATCTTAAACACAAGTAAAAGCAGCCACTACAGGGATGACCAAATAACTGCTAATGTATCATTCAGCAGATGAAAATATCACCTTTCACCATACTTGGCTTTATGACCTGTAAAAGGATTACCACCATGTGGCAGGTCCTTTGCAGAACATTGCTCTCATTATGTTCTGCCTGAAAGACTTTTTTTTGGGTCAGCTCTCCCACTTCCTGCACTACCTAAGTTGTCACCTATAGCCGGTACCCATCTTCATCCTAGTTGGCCTCTGTCCCTCTTTCCTGATATCATACATTTTACTTTTATTTTTTCATTCTGAGATGGTGCTTGATATGGCCAAAATATGTAATTAAATGGACTATTCTTCTTCTTCTTCTTGTTCACCGGCTGTGAATTCCGGCGGTAAGTCACGGTTGTTCGTCCAAAATGGACTTTTGGCTTTTACCTTGACCTGAGTTTTGCGTGTACATCCGTTTTACTGGCTTATTTGTTCGCAGTACTCGTTCCCCGCCTCTCCGGCAGATGTACTCCGACTTCGGAGGAAAAATGGACTATACTTCTCACTATTACCTGACTACTCCAAATGGCTTACTGGATTTTAAAAAGTTAGAAAATTGCATACCTGTGCCCATTTCTTGCTCCACTTGTCACCGTATCTTTGCTCCTCCTTTAATGCCCACTTATAACAATGTAAATATTTTGGTAGGTCACAAAAAGCAATACCACGACCATCAAATTCATCATTGAGCTTGAAAAGCCACCTCTGCACATTCAGATTTTCTGTCACAAGCTGAGCAAGGCTCTCGCAGAGCTGCATCAGAAACAGTAAACATAATGTTACATGTTACTCGTTATTCTTAGTTCCTGGAAGTGGCCACAATTACGCTACATGATTTGATAAGAAAACAACACAAGAACAGTATGAGACATCACAACTCTATCTTCATTTTAAAGTCCATGCAGTGTGTAGCGTTGATAGTCATGTCTATCCACAACCTTCTGTCCCGTGTACTTTCAATCAACTCTGACACAGATGATCCTTCATGCCATGATGTCACACTGGCTAGTATCTTTTCTTTCGGTCTCCCTCTGCCTCTCCTCCCCTCTAACTTTCCTACTGTCATGATGTACTCCAGTTTTATCCTTCTCATCTTATGACCAAAAAATGTAGATTATCTCTTTCTGATATAGGCAATCAGTTATCTTCGTGAGTCAGTTTCTCTCAAGACATCCTCATTGCTCTTTTTATCTGTCCAGGGTATTCTTATCATTTGTCTATAAAACCACATTTCGGCAGCTTCCAAATTATTGTTCACTAATCTACCAACTGTCCATGGTTCACTTCCGTATATCAAGATAGGATTTAAATAGAATTCTCTTTCACGTCCCAACTGACAAAGAAAGATTGCATCAAATGTTCTTCATTTTGTAAAATGCTGCCTTTGCTTGGGCTATTCTACACTTAACTTCTTGAATACATCTTCCATCTGATGTTATCAGGGTACCCAAGTACTTAAACATATCAACTTGCTTGAGATTTGTCCCATTTACTTTGATGTTACACTTTGGAGGGTCAGTTTTTAACTGTAACTAGAAAAATACAATACAACAAGATTATAGAAACAACATTATAAGAAACTGTAGTTTAAATTTAATAAGCTAAGGTGTGTGCAAACAACATAGCACAACATGACTTGACAAAACTATGAAATACAGTCAGACATGACAGAACAATACAGCACAGTATGTGTAACAAAATTACTGCCTTTATCAGTGCAAGCAGATTTTGTGTGTGCATGCTCTCCAACCTTCACAGCTCATCACACTTGCATGCTAAAATCGGACAATGAGGTTTTGATCATTTTTCAAATAAGTGCATCTCTGTATCTTCCACAAAATCTTTTCCTAGCTAAATATCTCTGATTCACTAAATACATTAGGATTGTTTCTACATAGCTTTTAAGGACTCCTTCTCACTTTAATTGCAAAAATAAATATTATTATTTATTCTATGAAATGCTTCTGTTGCACGGGCTATTCTATATTTAAAAACAATGTTTTCCTGTTTTAAATTTCAATAATGTGAACACAAAAAACACATTGCACAATTTATCGCCTGGCATATTTCGCTGCATCTCATTGCTACTATAAAGTTAAATCAACATAAAATGAAGCACAAAAATAAATCCTTTTTGCTGAAATACATAAGTTTACATTTTAAATTTAACAAACAAGACACAAACAATAGATCGCACAATTTATTGCCTGGTATATTTCGCTGTATCTCGTCAGGTGCATACTACAGTAACAATTACATAAATGAAGCAAATAATTGAATCCTTTATAACTGAAGTACAATTTCAACAACGATCAAACATAACTGCCTGTTTTTACCATGGCAGCCGTAAAGACAGAACCATCTCTTTCTGAATACAGAGTTCCAGGCGCAGGTGATGAATCACGGATGCTTCGAGAAATCTTAGCGTTCTGAAATTGGTTGACGTATGATGAATGTTGAAATTGTACTTCAGTTAAAGGATTCACTTATTGGCTTCATTTATGTAACTGTTACTGTAGTATGCACCTGACGAGATACAGGGAAATATGCCAGGTAATAAACTGTGCAATCTATTGTTTGTGTCTTCTTTGTTCAAATTTTCAATGGGGAAACATTGCTTTGATTTAACATTTAACTTCCTTAATACATTTTATATTTGCTACTATTAAGTTAGTTGTGTATCCTTTACAGGACGTTGCAGAACCAACCCTAACAGCCCCTGGCTGTTGTGTGGTTTCTCTAGGCAATTTACATCCAGTAGTTTGCCATTGCTTTCTGGACAGTCAGCTTTCTTGATACCACTGTCGAAACCAACGCAAGGCGCATTGCCTGCAGCTGGGATCCAACCTGGCATCCCGGCATTACGAAACTAAAGCGTTCCATCGACTTAGCCGCAGAGCCGACATTTGCTGCTATTACAGTACCCAAATGCTGGACATTATCTTGTTCCAGTTAGATCTATGCTAAATTATGACAGCATTTTTCTTGTAATTATTACTACACCTATTTTTTTTTTTTTTCAAGCTAAATTTTTTTTTTGTTCCTGTCTGTAAAAACAATATGTTTTTAGCATTCAATGGCTGTATACTCCTGGAGAAAGTTCTTGTTGTTCATCCACTTCTGGATTTTGGTTTTGTTCAAGAACTTGAGTTCTGCATGCTCAGCTGCTTTACAGATCTAGTTAATTTGTTTGCAGACCACTGACGCCTCCTCTCTCAGGCAGATGTACTTTTATTAGGGGAATAATAGGTTTATTTCCCCCCCCTCCAACCCCCACCCCACCCCCTAATAGTAACCCAGACGAGAAACAAAAATAATTTAATAAATAAAAGAGAGAATAATAATGGGGGAAATATTATTCCTTAAAAGTTGTATTTACCTGATCTAAACTGTAAATGTCAGATTCACTTGGAGGAATGTCAATGCCTGCACTCAGAAATATCCTCTTGCTAGCCAGATTTTGTTGAGTACAGATGAGCAGCATCAGGCTCTGGGCTTAGAACAGGGACACCGAGGTCATCAGCCACTGCAAGGTCATCTTTATGTGGCATCCCTGAGACTATGAAAGCATCTCTCCCTTTGATTAAGTTTTTAATTCTCTGCAAGGCTTTTGGACTATACTTCAGGATTGTTGACAAACACATTTTGTGTGTCTGATAATGAACAGAAGAAATACAAGAAAAAATATTCATGATCACAACAGCCTTCAACTCTGAAAAGCAAATTATTGTTACTATTATTTTTAAACTGCTTTTGCCCTAAGAAATCATTCTGTGGTCATTATATGTGTAATTTATCAACCCACAATAAGCTCATGATTGTGGGATATAAAAGATTGCTTCTTATACCAGGTTGTTCTTTTTGTGTGTTTTTTTTTTTTGAAAGGATGAAAGCATAGCTGTTTCATAGATGGTCCTGGTTGTCATGGTGTCATCATCACAGCAAACTGTATATGCAGAGAACTCATTATGGGCGAGAAATGGCTGGACACAGACAACATAAAAATTCTGTCATCTCTCCCCCCACCCCCACCCCACCCCAGTAAAGCAGTTAAAATAAACTTAATGACTATTTTGATCAACTGAGAAGCTACCGTAAACATACAAGTGTAACATTTGATAGGAAATCTACATAGAAATAATATACTGAAAATATAACACAGGTGGTCTGAAAACAATCCCCCTTGCAATAGGACTCTTCCTATTCTGAAACACCTAGAAATAAAAAAGGTGGGTAAACTGGCAACAACAACATACATACACACCTTCTTCTTCTTCTTTCGTTCGCATGAAATAAATTATCTATATCTGCAGTGCTTGTCTCTAGTATGAATTTCACAGTCTTTTGTAATTCACTAAGTGGCCCGTAAAGTTTGACTTCCACAAGTGTCTCTTTTGGCCAGAAGTTTTGCCTGGAAGCGTTGAATCTGGGAAAGTCTTAGAGGATGTGATCTGTTGTCTCAGGTGCCAGTCCACAGGTACACATGGCTGATTGGCCAATTTTAAATTTGTTGTACATGTGGCAGCGAAGTCAACTGTGCCCTGTTCTAAGGCGAAGGATAATGACTTGCTCTGGTCTGTTCATAATATGGTAATCGTCTTGTGCCAGTTTCGGTGGGATTCTGATTTATTTGATCATTCTCTTCTTCTGTTGATAAGAGACTGGTATGTCGGGTTGTTCTTCAGTTGCACTTTTGCAACTGTCAGGAATACCACTGGTTGTGAAAAATACCCTGTATTTAGTAGTTTCTCTACCGCTATCTTGATGGCTTGAACTTCTGCATCATAGTTGTGACAGTGCTTTCCTGTTGGTATTTTGGCTGTATCCCTGGTATTATTAGGATACTCAATTTACACTCCTGCACCTCTGTTTCTGACTGCACTTTCTGCTGACCCATCTGTGTAAACACGGACCCAAAGATTCTGTGGTTATTCATCATCAAGTAAACTGAGGGTGGCTGTTTTGCGATGTACACTGTTTTGTTCTTCCTTGTAAAATACTCCTTTCACTTCTGTCTTGATGTGTATTGGAAACTTATATTCCTCTCTCCAGGGGGTCCGTTCTGGGACAGCATTTAAGGATCTATCAGTTGCAGGCAAATCAGTGGTTTGTCTGCCGAGCCATTTGGCCTGGTGGATGAAACTACTTCTCTTTAGTCGTCCCAAAGCTAGATTTTGGAATCTTTCATTCATAGGGTGACTGGGCATACTATGAAACTTTTCTGCTTGTAAAAGCATCTTGGTGTCTCTGCGTTCACTCAGTGCTTGGGTCATCCCCATTTTCTCCATCACAGCTATAGGTGTTGATTTCATACTGCCTATGCTAACTCTAAGTGCTTTATTTTGCACTTTGTCTAATTCTTGCAATGTGGTTTTTGCTGCCGAACTCCATGCTGTTGATCCGTATTCAAGATGTGGTCAAACACTTTGTTGGTAAACTTTCCTAAGTATTTTCCCTCTAGCACCCCATGTGGTTCTACTTAGTTTTCTCAGAATGGCTACCCTCCTTCTGACATACACACCAAAATGAGAATGTGAAAATGAAGATAAAATATTTATATAACATCTTCATATTCTGGTAAACAGAATAAGACTGATGACTGCAACACTTTTCATCAAAAGGGAAAGAACAAATCACCATTCTTTTCCTTAAGACTGAGCAAAACAGACTGAAGATTATTAACACGTGCAAAAGCTTCATATGCAATCGATAAAAGATATACTGGTCTGCTGAATCAACATTAAACTTCATTCTATATAACATTAAAGAGGAACTCCACAAGATCATCATGTTAATTTTTTTGACGGTATAATCAGTATCATCAATACAGACAGTGTTCATGAGATGACAGGGAAAAAAAATCTGCTTTAGTAGAATTAATCTATAGTCATCATCTACACACTTGTCTTAGCAGTCAGCATACAGAAATAATGTCCTGTTTGAAACATGAATTGTGGCTAAGGGCTCCGGGGTCCTAGTTTTAGAGGAGGGAGGTGAGAGAACACAGTTTGAGGAGGGAGGTGACAATACACAGTATGTGAGGAGGGAGGTGAGAGAACACAGTTTGAGGAGCGTGGTGAGAGAACACAGTATGTGAGGAGGGAGGTGAGAGAACAGTTTGACAGGAGGGTGGTGAGAGAACACAGTATGTGAGGAGGGAGGTGAGAGAACAGTTTGAGAGGAGGGTGGTGAGAGAACACAGTATGTGAGGAGGGAGGTGAGAGAACACAGTTTGAGAAGGGTGGTGAGAGAACACAGTTTGAGAGGAGAGTGGTGAGAGAACAGTTTGAGGAGGGTGGTGAGAGAACACAGTTTGAGGAGGGTGGTGAGAGAACACAGTATGAGAGGAGGGAGGTGAGAGAACACAGTTTGAGAGGAGAGTGGTGAGTGAACACAGTTTGAGAGGAGGGTGGTGAGAGAACACAGTTTAAGGAGGGTGGTGAGAAAACACAGTATGAGAGGAGGGAGGTGAGAGAACACAGTTTGAGGAGGGAGGTGACAAAACACAGTATGTGAGGAGGGAGGTGAGAGAACACAGTATGAGAGGAGGGAGGTGAGAGAACACAGTTTGAGGAGGGTGGTGAGAGAACACAGTTTGAGAGGACAGTGGTGAGAGAACACAGTTTGAGAGGAGGGAGGTGAGAGAACACAGTTTGAGAGGAGGGAGGTGAGAGAACACAGTTTGAGGAGGGAGGTGAGAGAACACAGTTTGAGGACGGTGGTGAGAGAACACAGTATGAGAGGAGGGTGGTCAGAGAACACAGTATGAGAGGAGGGTGGTCAGAGAACACAGTTTGAGGAGGGAGGTGAGAGAACACAGTTTGAGGAGGGAGGTGAGAGAACACAGTATGAGAGGAGGGTGGTCAGAGAACACAGTATGAGAGGAGGGTGGTCAGAGAACACAGTTTGAGAGGAGGAAGGTGAGAGAACACAGTTTGAGAGGAGGAAGGTGAGAGAACACAATTTGAGAGGAGGGAGGTGAGAGAACACAGTTTGAGGAGGGAGGTGAGAGAACAGTCTGAGAGGAGGGAGGTGAGAGAACACAGTTTGAGAGGAGAGAGGTGAGAGAACACAGTCTGAGAGGACTGTGGTGAGAGAACACAGTTTGAGAGGAGGGAGGTGAGAGAACACAGTTTGAGAGGAGGGAGGTAAGAGAACAGTCTGAGAGGAGGGAGGTGAGAGAACACAGTTTGAGAGGAGGGAGGTGAGAGAACACAGTCTGAGGAGGGAGGTGAGAGAACAGTTTGAGAGGACGGAGGTGAGAGAACACAGTTTGAGAGGAGGCAGGGGTGCTATATTTTTTAGGAAGGTGAGAGAACAGAAACTGCCTTTCAACAAGCATGCTGGTAAAGACAACTAATTAAGGGGTTGCCCAAATCCGATTTGTTGAGCCAAAAAAGTTCATTAATTGAAGCTGTAAGCCACATTACAGTGTGTGTGTCAACTGCCTTTTCAGAGGTTTTTGGTGAACAAAGAAGAAGAAGAAACATATTTAAGTTGTGTGTAAATTATTAAAGCTGGTGAAATATGTTTATGGTTTTGTAAATGTTAAAACTGTTATAAATTTATACTGTGGAAAAATGTGTAAACAAATAATAAAACATTTAGAACTGACAACTAAATTACTACATTTTAATGCACCAAATGCTCTTGGATATTTCTGAATAGTATCTCCATAGTAGTAGTAATAGTAGATGTTTACCCCACTTGGACATCAAACAAGTGATAAACACCTGATGACACAAAGTGCCACCATGTGGATGAGGATCACCATGGAGAGGTCCAAGAAACTGCATTCAGCCATTAGACCATATTTATGGCCGGGCTATATTGCGGGGCCTGGCAAAAGCCAGGGATGGGCTTCAAAATAACGAAAAATTGTATTTCATAAGGGGATGCTTAAGTTGCTATATTCATTTATATATTAGGATAATCAAAGATATGCCAGGAATATCAGTTAGTGGGAATAATGTAAACAACTTATAATACAAGGTCTGACAATTAAGTAATGAGACTAATTCCATAAAAATGTAAATAATCAACAATTGAAGATATAACCTGTATTTTGTTCAAAGTAAGCCTCTTATGCATTGATACAGCGAGTGGCACCATCTAACAACCACTGGAACGACCACTGTAGTTCTTCTATTGTTACGGCCCTTAAAGTCAATGTTATGGCCCATTGGATGCCATCAATATTGTCAAAGAAGAGTCCTTTCAATGGCAGCTTTAATTTTGAGAATAGAAAATAGTCACAGGGAGAAAAATCTGGGGAATAGGGTGGATGGTTGAGAACACGCACTTGTGTTTTGGGGGCCAGATATTCCTGTACAGATACCACCCTTTGAGCTGGTGCATTGTCATGAAGAAGAGAAACAATTACCAGGTGTTGAATACAAACCGTCACCTGAACTGGAAGCGCTTCATGGTTCGCTCTGCAATGCTAGAGATAGCAAGGAAGCTGATCCAACAGACGAACATGTAAAGCAACACAACAGAGCAAGGGCTCTTTATGTCAGAGAAAGAAACCTACAGTGTAGAAAGTCCTGGAAAGAAAGTCCTGAACATGGAAAAAGACACAAACAAATTGTGGAGACTGACAAAGGCAATAAATGATGACAACCCATCTCATGGAAAAACAGTTCTCCAACAA